GTGCGCTGCAGGTGGCGCAAGCGGGGTCGTTGGCAAACGGGTTAAATGCAGAGTGCGGCCCGACGCATCCCGATCCGTAACGAGCACCGCGAGGGCTTTGTTGGCGCCGCTGCGCTCGCTGCGCTCGGCTCGGGCGCGGATCCAGTGGCGTCGATGGGGGGTGGTCCCAGCCCCGCCCCCGAGGTGGCGAAGTCAGGCAACGAGGTGCACAGGCGACATCCATCCCCCTGAAGTCTCCGGGTCGCCCCTGCCTTAGGCAATCGCCTTTAGGCGCCCACCACCAGCCCGGCCCGCGACGCGTGTGTATGTGTGTCGGACTAGTGAGATGCACAACAGTTGGTAGTCGTGTCCGTATCGCGCAGCCAATTAGTATCACAATCGATTGAGCTTCACGCTGCGGCTCGACACGCCTCGGTTCAGCAGGGCTCGACACGGCACGGATCAGCAGGGCTCGGCGCGACCCGGCGCGGTGGCCTATGGCATGCAGATGGTGAATCAGCTGTTCGTGGAGGCGCGGGGGTGGGGGTGGGGGGTTACTCTATTACAGTGCCGTGCTCCGCAGCCGGGGAGTGACTGTCGATCCTGTCAGTGACAACAGCGAATCTGTTAATTATCGGCACGCACTTGCAGTTTTTTGTTTGCAATCTATGTTCTCTCAGGCATTTATAGCGTGTCTTGTAAAAGGGTGACGAGCGTTTTTCCCCCACACTTGCAATACAAGCCACGTGTTTTCTCGAGACAAGTCAATCTTTGACGCTCTCGTTGCCCCCTCCCCTCTTTCTCTCACTGAGTCTCTCTTTGACGGTGTTGCTTACTTGGAGGGTACAGGAGCACCGATGCAGCGTCCTCCGTCTTCTCGCTCCGCCCGACAGCCGTGGCCATTTTTTAACGCAATGAAAGCAAAGCGCGTTATGCTGGGTTATGCTGGCACCGCGCCGCCGGAAGTGCCAGCGCACCGATTCCGAGAGTCGTTTTCGCCGCCCTGTCTCACTCACGACCGAGAGGCGTCGCGTATGGGTGCGAGAGAGACAGAGCGACGGAAACGACTTCTCGCGGAATCAGTGTGCCAGTGCCGCGGCCAGGCGCATCCTCGGCGTCCTCGCCGCCCCGCCCCGCCCCGACATGCACGCCATGAACTAGATGAGGCCGACTGACTGGCCGTGACTTATCCGCAGAGAATCGAAGCGTCCCGTCATTATTGGCCCTGCTCTGCCCTGCTCCCCGCGGCTCGTTTTTGCAGCGTGTTCGCAGCGCCTTGCTTGTCTTGCTTGTGTAGCCGGCGTGGCCGCGTGGCGCTCACGACGCGCTGTCGGCACGCTCGTCCTAGCCCAGCCCAGTCTAACCCTATCCACGCCGCGCTGCCGTCCGAGCGCCATCACTCATTCCGCTGCCCGCCGCGCCGCCGCCCCGTTGCGAAAGTCGATTAATTTCCCCGCGACAACGGTGCGATGCACTCTTCGGGTCCCCTTCGCGACAAAGTGTAGCGAACGGATGCACGCGCTGCCGGCCATAGCGAGTCCACGACGTCCATGACGTCCACGACGTCCTCGACGTCCGCGACGTCCACGACGTCCACGGCGTCCGCGACGTCCACGACGTCCGCGACGCCCAGCCCCAAACAAGGCGCACGCTTCCGGAAGGGCCGCGCGCAGAAGGCAGCACCCGTGACTTGCACGCACGCCACGCTGATTTAGAACCGGCGGCTGCCGGGAGCGGGTTCGAATCCCGGTCGCTCCATAGCGCAATTTTCATTCGTCAAGGATGGAGGCCGTGCCGTAACTCTGGCAGTGTGGCAGTGCTGCAGTGCTGCGCCACGCATCCTTCACCTTATGCGTCGGTCCAAATGAGTCGGGAGACACGGCGGTCGGGCCGTCCCGCCGTCCGCAGCGACGGTGGCGCCGCGCGGCTGCATAAGGAAACGGCGCCGGGCTGCCATTGGCTGCCATAGACCCGGCGGTACAAAACGCTGCCAGGCCCGGCGCGGCAACGCGCGGCAACGCGCAGCAACGGGCAGCAACCTTAACCTTACCTAACCTCGACTAAGCGGTGGCGGAGCGGCGGCGTCGGCGTCTGCCAGCGACTTGTCGCACCGGGAGTGCCCTATCAGGTTGGATAACCTGGCGCTTCGAGTACCAGGCAGGCCGCGGCAGGCAGACCGGGCACCAGCGCCAGGGCCTTCTCCATCACCGGCCGGTAGCGCACGGCGCGGCACCGCAGTGACGAGCGGAAACGGAATGCAATAACAATCCAATTTCGGCCAATCAGAGAGCGAGAGAGAGAGAGACTCTGCAAGCGGCGGCTGGCTATTCGCAGTGGCGAGCCGTAACGCCGATAACTACAGAACGAGAAAGCGGCCGAAGCGAGGCGGGCGAGGCGGGCCACATGTGGAAGCCTCTCTGTTCCGTTCCGGGCGGCGCGAGAAAGGATTAGCCGCTCTCGATCCAGGGGTTGGCAACACTGACTGGTCGGAGTGTCCGCGCTGCCTGCGCTTGCCGTCACGTTGGCAACACGCGACACGCTGGACGCATCGCCCAGGCATCGCCTTGCCCATCCCCCTTGCAACAGCCTCCTCTTTATTTTCCCTTCGCAGACTGCGCATCACAGTGGTCGCGTTGGCCAGGCTTTGGCACGCTCGTCCCTCTCACGGCGCGGCTGGCGCGGCGCGGCGGGGTGCTTGCAAAAGAATCACCGCGCGCAGCGTGGCGCAGCGCACAGGCATGCCACACACGAAAATGAAAGTGATGCGCGGTATGATCGTGAGCAGCCCCAGGGGGGAGCTCGGTTGGCTCTGACCTTTGGCACCCCTGGCAGGGCGTGGGGCAGGGCCCGGCCGGACTGTGTCCATCCACCGATGGCCAAACAAGCAGTGCTGTTGGCCAACAGGCCGCACAGGCGGGCTGGGGCTGAGTTCGTCTCTCACGACGGCCCGGCGGCCCGGCGGCCCTGCCCCGGGGAACCAGCCAGCCGCCTGCACTTGGAGGAACATATTGGACCCGTCGCAATAACCAGCCGGCCGGCTGAAAAGCGAAATGTCGACACTGTGACAGCGGAAAGCGCGAGGCAAGGCGCGAGGCGGCTGCGTTTTGAGTGGCGGGCTGGCGGCGCGGCTGCAGGCACACGCTGGAGGCCGTGCGGTGCGGTGCGCTTCTCGCCGGGGCTTCGATTAACGTCGAGCCAGAGCCGCGCTGACAAAATGTGAAGGTAACGGCTCAGCCGGCTGGGCTGGCTGGGCTGTCTGGGCCTCGGCGCCGCAGTACCGTCAGGGTGGCCTTCTTCTTCTTCCAATGGAGTCGGTGCCCCCGGGGGGCTTGTCCTCGCGGTGCGTCCTCGGGGCGTTCGGCAGCACCGCGACGTCGCGGCTCTGCCCCCTTCCGCCTATCGACCCGGCAGTTTCGCGGCGTTTCGCAGCTTGCGCCACCCCGCCGGCCGCGCTGGCACCGCCGCTGCATGTTAACCCCCGGCCGACCCCGACTTACACCCGATTCGGACTCGCCCCGCTCGCGCCGCTCGCGCCGTGACAAATGACCGGTTGGTCGTCGCGCGGGAATTGAAAGATGAGAAATTGCGCGACGCTGTCGAAGCGGAGTCCGCGCCTGCGACGCGCTGCCGCCTCCTAGTACGGCGCCAGTAACTGCCTGGCGGGCCGGCGGGCGCGACCCGTAGCCACGCGAAGCCTGGCGCAGGCACGCGCCCACCTGGACCCAAAAACACAAACGGCTAGTCAGACGCGACAGACATCTGTTCGTCTGTCCGTCCGTCCGCCTGTCCGTCCTGTCTGTCTGTCTGTCTGTCTGTCTGTCTGTCTGTCTGTCTGTCTGTCTGTCTGTCTGTCTGTCTGTCCATCCGTCTGTCCATCCGTCCGTCCATCCGCCCGTCCGTCCGCGGGAGGCCGAGCCAAGATAATTATCTAGGAGACGAGTCAATCGCCTTGGCGATGCTGGCCGATGATGAGACTCATTTCGCGGCGTGGCGGGCCGGGGCTGGGCTCGGTGAGGCGAGGTGGGGCGGAGCGGGGCGCGGCCCGGGCCACATTCACATTGTCGGCTCACGTCAGCCGATAAATAATAAACAATAATCCGCCCTTGGTTGCTGCCGAGCCGCACTGCCGTCTCGGGCCCTCCCATCTCGGCCGGCCTTGGCCCAGTTCGGCCGGGCCACCCGAGCTTTTGTCAATATTAACGTCGATCTAACGAGAACGGCCGGCAAATGGTCCGAGGAGTGCGGCGAGCATCCCGAGAGGCGAGACGCCCCCCCCCCCTCCCCTCCTCCCACGATTCCCCGACACTGACCGGGAGCCCGCTCCATTGTGAGGCGCCATCCAGCGAGGTCAGGGATGCGTCCGTCCAGCGCGGAGCCGCGGAGCCTTTCTACCGTTTCTATCCCGACAATGGCGCGGGGGAGGGGAAAGGGAGGGGGCATCGGGGGCACGCCCACGCGGCCTCACCGCGACGCGCGTACAAAATCGCGACAAACGGCCGTCGCCGTCTTTCAATTTTTCGAGTTAAGGCGAGGGGTGACCCACTGTGCAATTTTATGTACAACGATTGTTGCGGAAATGTGCTGGAACGCACAAGATTGCTGACCTTTTTGCCACTCGTGTTGCTTACTCACAGGCGCCTTCACCGCCTCAATGTGGAACGTGTTCAAATTTTGTCCAATTGATGTGGCATTTGTTCTAGCCTCGGTGGGAGGCGCGCCTCGATGAAGACCTAAAGACCGCGCTCGTGACAAGGTCGTCCGTGTTCCAGGTTGCGGTGGCAGTGAGCAGCTTGCTGGCGGCGGTCGCTCTGACCAGCGCAGAGCCCCCGAACAACCAGTACCTGCCGCCCACGTCCGGAGGACAGCAGGGCTACAACTACGACAGGTAAGCGCCACGGTTCGAGTACCGGCAACGCCGCGGCTGGCCCGTCGTGCTGCGACGGTGCTGCGCGCCTGCGAACCGCGGGGTAGCCGACCCGCGCTCACCGTGTTGCTTACTCACAGGCGCCTTCACCGCCTCAATGTGGAACGTGTTCAATTTTGTCCAATTGATGTGGCATTTGTTCTAGCCTCGGTGGGAGGCGCGCCTCGATGAAGACCTAGCGACCGCGCTCGTAACAAGGTCGTCCGTGTTCCAGGTTGCGGTGGCAGTGAGCAGCTTGCTGGCGGCGGTCGCTCTGACCAGCGCAGAGCCCCCGAACAACCAGTACCTGCCGCCCACGTCCGGAGGACAGCAGGGCTACAACTACGACAGGTAAGCGCCACGGTTCGAGTACCGGCAACGCCGCGGCTGGCCCGTCGTGCTGCGACGGTGCTGCGCGCCTGCGAACCGCGGGGTAGGCCGACCCGCGCTACACCCGTGTCGGCGGGTTGCCTACCTTGCCGGCGCTCCCGCCAGCCGCCTGCGAACTGCGGGGTAGGCCGACCCGCGCTACACCCGTGTCGGCGGGTTGCCTACCTCGCCGGCGCTCCCGCCAGCCGCCTGCGAACTGCGGGGTAGGCCGACCCGCGCTACACCCGTGTCGGCGGGTTGCCTACCTCGCCGGCGCGCTCGCCTTGCACAACGCGCGTGAAAACCCTCCGCTTGTAGCGCCCTGCCGCGTTCCAGTCGTCGGTGATGACACTGGAATGTGTGTGTGCGTGTGTGTGAGTAGCAGGTGTGAGCACGGCGAGTGGAAACCACACCGGCAATCCATTTGTCACAATCAGTGGCCATTATGGCCGGGCCGAGGGAGGGACATCTTGTCGGTCTCGGGTTGCGGGCATGCCGGGGCACGCCGGGGCATGCGGGCCGCGGCCGTGTGGAGCCTCATCTTGTTAATCGCGCGGGGGGGAGGCGGGGGGAGGGGGCTGTCGTCGCCGCCAGCACGCGGCTGCACGCGGCGCGTCCTGCCCCCCGCTGGGGCCGCTGGGGGCCCCGGGCCCCGCTGGGCGTGTTTGTTCGGCCCGCTGCCTTGCTGCCTTAATGACCCGGTTACGTTCTGCTACTGGACCTACTGGACGACCGGTTGCCCCGCGCCGCCGCATCGCCCATGCTTAATGTGAAGTGAAGCCTGCTCTGGGCCGCACTCGCACCCGACCCGAGCGCGCACCAAGGCCCTGCCTGCACGCTCGTTCCGAACAGGGCTTCGTCGCTCTGTCTCTCTCGCTCTTGCAAGGGGCGCCCCATGAGTGCGAGAGAGACGGAGCGACGGCTGCACGGTTCGGAATGAGCCTGTCCCTTTGCTTGCGGACACGCATGATTTGCGTGGCACCCCATCGATCGCCTCGACCTGCAGACCGATTCCGAGAGTCGTACTCGTCGTCGCTCTGTCTCTCTCGCACCTGCAGACTGATTCCGAGAGCCGTACTAGTCGTCGCTCTGTCTCTCTCGCACCTGCAAGGGACACCCCATGAGTGGCCGGCGCCTCGCGGCCTGGCGGCGGCAGCCTCCCACTGCCTGCACTGACGACGACGGCGGCAACACGCGGGATTTAGAACCCGTTGCTTATTGCGGCCGGGGGGCGGGGGAGTGGGTGTTGGCAACTGTCGTTAGCCAATCGCGGACCGCGACATTACAATCCCCGAACAGGAACGACTCGAATCCTGAGGAGCCTCGCCGAGCCTCGCCGAGCCAAGCCGCCCTGGCTCCGTCGAGGTTCTTGAAAAGATAAATCGGGAATGTGCCCTCCTCGAGACAGGGCAGGACAGGACGGGCCACCCACTGAGTGACTCTGGCTCTGGTCGCGCAGCCGCGAGGTGCGAGCGGTGTGAGCGCAGTGGCCGCTGTGAGGCAGGTCGCGGACGGTTGGCTGTGGTCAGTGCCAGCTGCCGCGGCCCGCCTGCCCGTCGCCGGCTTCCTCCTCTCCGCTCGGACCGGATCGCACTGAGTCCAGGAGCACCACGATGACGACTCTCCTTGTTGTTGCAGGCCGCCAGTGGCGTTTCCCCCCCGCCCCAGCCCGCCCGCCCCGGCACCCCGGCCGCAGCCGCAGCCCACCTACAACCCGCCCACCAACGGAGGCTACGACTACAACGCCAACGCCAACCTGCCCGGCAGCAACGGCGGGGACGTAAGTATTCCCCTGGAACTACTTTGCAAGTTGAAGGGCTCTCCGGGAGTGACCGCACCTTGCCCCTTTCGTTTCCAACCGCCGCTGAATTTTGCGCCCGGCAGCACGATGACCACCACCACCACGAGCCCGGCATGCCCTACGACTTCAACTACGCCGTCAAGGACGACTACTACGGCACGGACTACAGCCGCAACGAGGTGTCCGACGGCGACGTCATCCGCGGCGAGTACCGCGTGCAGCTCCCCGACGGCCGCCTGCAGATCGTGCGCTACACGGCCGACTGGAAGAACGGCTACAACGCCGACGTGTCCTACGAGGGCGAGGCCAAGTACCCCGAGCCCAGCCTCAAGAACACCGGCTACGTCAACAACGCGCCGCAGCAACAGCCCAACAACGGCGGCTACCAGTACCGGAAGTAACTTGCCGCGGGAATGGGGGGAATCTAAAGTAAAGAATTACAAACTGTTTGCTACTCTCGACCACCACCGCCACAAATTAAGCAGCCCGTCCTGGGTCCGCCAAAGTGATTTAATGTTATTGATTTGTGTTATTTTTTTGTCATTCCTAAGTTTGTTTTTTTATTCTGCCGCATCTCATTTTTATCTATTTTTTTTATTCTCTTAATCATAGTGCAGAAATTCTATTTGTTTTATTTTTTGTTTTTTTCCCATTGAAATGTGTGTGTATGTGTGTTGTTCAATAGTAGAGCTAAACCAAATGGACAGTGTCTCTCTAAAAGTGGACCCAAAGATTGTTGCTTCCCAAGGATTCAGGGAAGCAGACACACAGCAGAAAATGGTCTCAGCCATTCAACTTTATCCCAGTACCTCCTTTTCAGGAAAGCTACACCAGTTCTTATGTTATTATCAAAAAGTAGTTTTGAAAAGCAAACACCCCTGTGCCACCAAGCATTGTACATAACCCTGAGTGAATGAGTGAGCAAATGATTTCTGAATGACAAGTGTGTGTTGGGGCTGTGAACCCAATGTAATGACTGTGACTTTTGTATAAATATTTTATTATTAATAAAAATAAATAAATTGAAATTAATTTTGTTTGAATTAATATGTCCTCCAGCAGCTGATGTAGGCAAGGAAACACAACAGAAGCTTCAAAAATATACTGTATTCAGAAACAGGTTACAAGTTACAACAAAGTGAAACATGATCAGAATATTATACTATGCAGATCATAAAAATAGAATTTAAAAAGTCGTCTACGGGAAAATAACCCTTTGTACTCAAGTTTGGCAAATAAATAAAACAGTGATATAAATCAGTCTCAAAAAATAGCAACAATGTTACTAAAAATGTGAAACTATGAAATGAGAAAAAAACATTGAGAGATGAAACAACACAAAAAAATGATACACCAATGCTAATGGAAGCAACTGAAGTTCCCGTAAAAACTCACATTTTTCATAAACTCATATGTAACTCCTCTCACTTCTTTTCCGCTGCCTTCTCTTTCACAGACCCATCAGAGTAACCAAAGTACGCCTTCTCAGCCATGTTAACAAAAAGGCCAGTTTCAACAACACCTGGACAAGAGTTGGATAAGATAAAAAAAGACAAAAATATGTGCAGTAACAACAGTGACTAGAAAGGTAAACAGAAATGACTTACCTGGCATCAAGTTTAACTGTGTATTAACACTGTCCCAATCAAATTTGCTTTCTGGGAAAAGCCAGTCCAAAATGAAGTTTCCATTGTCAGTTACTACAGGGCCCTGTCATGTCAAAGAGGAAATATTAGAACTAAAATAACTTAAATGCTCTCTTTTCTTTAGTGCATATACTTACAGCCTTTGACTTGGCCATGCGAAGTTGTACTTTGCCTCCAAAACGGGTTTGGATTCTTTGCATGACTGGCACATATGACAAGGGAATTACTTCAATAGGAACTCCCTTTTTGTACTGTTCACCCAATGTTTGTGAATCTTTTCTGCAAACCAAACAAACGGTCACAATGTATATAATTGGAAACATAATCTTATAGGTACTACAGTTCGCTGGATACTTACGTGTAGTCTGCTATAATTATGAATCTTTTAGCACAAGAAGCAACAATCTTTTCTTGGGTGAGACAGCCACCGCCTCCTTTGATAGCAGTAAATTTGTTATCAAGCTCATCTGCGCCATCAATCGCAACATCAAGCTAGAACAAATCATGACACAAAGAAATGATATTTACACTACCACAGTTACAATGTATTGAACAAGAAAGAGAAGACAAAGTATAAACCTGTGGATAACGATCCAAATCACCCAAGATAAGATTGTTTTCAACAATCAGCTGCCGAGCTTGAAAAGATGTTGGAATGCACACCAGCTGAAGCTTCTCCTTCTGAACGCGTTCCGCTAAAAAAAAAAAAAAAAACATGAGAGCAACGCACATAAGTGAAAGTGAGTGGATAGAGAGAAAAACAGGAATGATGAGCTCTAATGATAAATTTCCTAATCCCATGGATCAAGGCACAAACATGAAACACTTGTCATGCTGTCATCAAAGAAGACGACTCTCTCACCCAATCTCTCAACAGCATAAACAACAGTGGATCCACTACCAACTCCAACAACATCCTTGTCCTGAAATACAAAGTTCAAAGTCAGTTTGGTTCTCTTATCATTTCATTATTGACATGACATGCCTATTCCAAACGCAGTCCACTAACCTTCACACATTCGTCCACCGCCCGGAAAGCGGCCGCCTTTTTGGCACTTTCGAGGAGTGACATGGTTGGTGATGAGTACGACCGGGAAAGATGGAGCGTAGGACAGAGGAGGGAGTCCAACCAGTCCAACCGGCTCAAAGCCAAAGCTGAAATGAAGGGAGAACGCTTCGATAGTCTTGTTATCACCTTTGGTATCATGACACGATCAAATCCCGCACGCAAAAAACAGAACAAAATCAAATGCATCATTACCAACAAACAAATATGAAATTTCAAAAACGAACTGTTCATAAAGGAGATAAAAAACATCCAAAATTGAAAAAATATGATAAAAACATTATTATTTTTTTCTTTACTGCTTGTTTGGTTTGTTTCCTGAATTCTAAAATAAGTTTGCAAGAGGATTCTGCTACCAACGTAATTACACCTAATCCAGTTTCCGGTTCCGGCAAGCCAAGCCGAAGCCTGGAAGACATTTTGTTCGTTCTGAAGGTTCGGCGTTGCTGTTTGCACGCAGTTTCTCTCACCCACCGCTCGTTTGCGAACAAGAAGTTGTGGGCTCCCCACAACCGTCTGTTGCCCGGACAGCCGCTCGGCTTCAAATCATCGAGGTTCCCCGCATATTTGAGTGGTGAGTGTCGCACATTAGCTATGCCGTTTGCGCAGGGATGGGATTCGCATTCGCGTAGGCCTACGTTTGATCAATACACCGTCTTTTCGGCGCCCCGCGTCCTTGCAGTCAACTATGTGGCTTAATCTGCGTGCGTTGCTCTGAATGTTCCAAATTGGAAGTGAGTGTGGAATGGTTTTCTTTGTAAATGCGGGTCATGCGCCTCCGCGGCATCTGGTTATTGCGCAATGCAGTCCGTCGTGCATTCCTATCGCTATCCCTGTCCCTGTCCCCGTCCCTGTCCCCGGTCGGCTCTCCCGAACGCACAACGCACCTGTGTCGTTCTCGCTGTTAATTTCTTTCAACTTAAAACGATGATGAGGCATAATGGTTGCCAGCTCTATTGCATCTAAGCGAATGCATCGTTTCTGTTTCAGGTTACCACCATCAAAATGGCTGGGCTTAAAAAGATCATCCTCAAGAATTCTACTCAGATGTCTTTGCATGAACGGTGAGAATCAGTGTCACAAGAAATACCCCTTGTTTGGGATTTGCCATGGCCCTCTTTGGAGCCCCATTAGTCATGCAGCTGGTACAGTCAATGTTCGGGGGCATTGACTTATCTCATGTTCAAGCCATCGTCGGGAAAATGGACTGTTCGTTTGGGAAGTGTGGCATTACTTGACTGGTTCTATTGAACCTGCAGTGTGAACACACTGGTTAAGTAAAGTATTTGTCCTATTGGATGACATGGAAGGCCTCGTAGGTCCTGTGGAAGTGCTTTATGCAATGGGTTGTGTATCATATTTAGCACAAAATTCCTGAGCGGAGTCAGTGGCTGTGGTGCAATTCTATTCGCAAGGTTGGGTTTGGATGTGATGCACTGTATCATTGAGCAAGAAATATCTTTGTGTCAGCTTTGACTAAATGTGACGATCACCTTGTGTGCCTCTGCAATGGTCCACGAGGGTTCCTCTGACCATACAATGTTCCTCGTATTGGGTATGATGAAGACACTTTGGAAGCACCCATCAATCAGAAGTTAACATACTGTGGCATGAACTGAGCATCAACATTACTTTCTACAACTCAACATGCAAGAAGAGAAGATTTTTCGTTGTTGAGCTATGTAGTTGAACTGAAGACAACATAACCAGAACATCCAACATCCTATTTGAAGATGGAGTCCAATTTCTCTGAACTATTAGTATTGCAGCCCCAACAATGAAGATGCTGAACACATGGATGTCACTTTGTTATTTCAGAGGGTATTACTATTACCTCATACTTGGGCAACCAGCTAATCTGATTTTATCCCAATCATTTAAAATGCATCCTCCGCTAATTTGGAATCAGACTCTGAAGGCTTATTCACCACAATTATGACTTGCCCAGTCTGGCCGAAGTGGGCTGTCATCAATAAGCCTTCTGTTCGATAATGAAGTGAACCCAGGAAATTGGTCTTTTCCCCTTGCATTGCATCCACAAGCCACAAAAGCCACAATTGCTCATTGCAGCCAAAATGCATATGAGTTGATATCAAGTGCCAAGATGTGCCGATGCCATGATACACACTTATGTGTTTGGAAATGAAGACACAGAGTATTCATTGGGCCTTTCACTTGAAGCACCCAAAAAGAGATAAGGTGAAAATTTTAATAATTTAAAAGGGTTTGCCTTGAGTGGGCTGGAAGTTTCCAATGACTGTCTTATCTTGATGATGTTCACTGTGGACATGTTCAAGTTGACTTGTATCTTTTTGGTTATAGATTTTATTTTCCTTTTAATTCAAAGAATTTTAACCATGATGGGCTTATCTTTCTTGATTTTGTTTTTGGTGTTTTCTTTCCTTGTTAAAGCCCATTATCTGGTGGGGCGTTTTTCACCCTCTCTTGCCATGGGAGATGGCTATTATATCTCTTATAATATCATTTTTTAGATTCCCATCAACTGGCACTAATTTTGCTCATACTAATGAGTGATCTTTGTATGGCATGCAGGCCCTTGCTATGGCTTGGTCTCCATACCCCCCTGGCCTATCCTACATGGTGCAGTCCTAACGTTTTTTACAGCTCTTTATGACCAACTCAATACTTGGTAGGGGGTTTCATGAAATGTTTTTCATGCAACTGAGATGGTCATAGGGCCATACACCTGACTTAAAGTTGTTGGTTCCAATTGAGCTGTTGACTGCAAATAAAGGGACGACCTTCTTATTGAATCCATTTGCTGGCTTCATAAAGCACCGTACCCCTTGGCAATGTTGCCTGGTTCATTGCTGGTGATTGCATTGACAACTTATGCAGTAAATAGCTGCCTGCAAGTGCACCAAGCAATTGCTAAGCTGTCCAGGGAGGCAGATTGTTGATAAAAATGAATATGGCACACACACAGCTTCACGTACCTGCGACAACCATCACGTCAAGAGGGAACTGTTCAAACGGTGCGGGCCAACCTTGCTCTTCAGCAACAGGCATCTGCACGGAACAGAAGACTTGCAGCTCAGATGGAACGTCGCCCTGCAGTAATGGCAGCCCTGAAGATAAAGCAGGTTTGTCTCTATTTTTATTGCTTTGTTGGTTGTTAGATCTTACCAATTTTCACCCTTTATTTAATTCTTGCAGAAAACCCTTCGTCAACGCCTTGGAGATGGGCTCCGTCCGCGCATTGGAGATAGCCTGCGCCAACGCATTGGTGTTGGGAGACTTAGTCTCAGTGACCGGCTATCAGCCAGGCCCATAGGGCACATGCGCTCACAATCAGTACCCCGCTCACCAAGAGCTCGCCTGAGTGTTGGTATTCGAGGCAGATTGTATCGACCTCAAGCCCAATTTCAACCTGCTCGTCAAATGAGAGCACCGTCAGTTGGTCGCCAGCGTGGTACACTTTGTAAGTACACTTTCTTATTTGGTTTTGAGATGCTTTTTATCGGTTTGCTTTAACATCGTTTGTGTTCACAGCTCGAAGTGCCAGCATAAGCAATTTAAGTCGGAGCCAGAGTACTGGTAATCTGAATACAGCTGGTCGTTTCCAAAACCAAATCCAGAATCGTACGTATCAGAACACAAATCGGTTCAATGTGAGTCGGGGAAATCAATACAGGCCACAAAGAGGTATGAGGGTGACAGGGGGCAGAGGTTTCAATGTTCAGCGGCCCTTCAGAGGAGCCCGGGGTAAGTAATAGTCTTATTTGTTAGTGTTACTTTATGACACATTCTAAGCACATGTGGATTTGCTAGGTCAAGTACAAGGACAACAACGCAGAGGCCAATTTAACAACTACCAGCAGCAACGAGGCGGACGTGGAAATTACAGGTGAGCTTTCATCAAATATTGTTTCTTGTGTCAACTTGCATTACACATTGCATTGTCTCACTGTTATTTTTATTGTTTATTTTGTAGGCAGGGGAACCAGTCTACGCGAGGAGTCCAGGGCATGCGAGGCCAGGGACGTGGGCGCGGCAGAGGCCAAGGGCGCGGACGGGGCCGTGGCCGTGGGGCTGCTCCCCCCAGCCGAGAGGAACTCGACAAGCAGTTGGATCTCTACATGGCAGGCACCAAGTCAACGCTGGATAAGGAACTTGACAGTTACATGAATCAAGGGCAGTGAATGCAAGCTGACTGAACTTACCACTTAAAATATGATGTGTTGAGGGAGAGTTTTGTTTTACTATTTTCTGACTTATTGTATCTTTTGATGTTCTAATTTATTCACTGGAAGGAACTGCTGCTTAGGCTCTTCCAGTTTTATCTGACTCCCTCTTAGTATCTTAACTGTTGCCTGTCCTGTGTGTTATAATTATTGGTTACCTTCATTACTTGAAGTAATGAGCTGAAACTAGAGCAGTTCTAATAGTAACATAAATCAACTTGAATTTACGGAAACTAATGTAATTGTAATATATGTGACATAAATTTGTATATAGCTATAATTAACCTTACACTCTTGGTGTGAATGTAGACTAAGTACATTATACTAGAAGCCAAAGTGAAAATTCTGTTAATTACTTCTAACCTTTGAACTCATGGACTGTCTGAGTGTGAAATCAATGTTTTGTTGTGAACTGTCCTCAATAGCATTGCTAGTTGTCAACTTTGAGGCAGACTGAGAAGATTGTCTCTCTCTCTCGCTTTTACTTTTAATGTTTTTTTGTACTATGCAGTGTTAGGAAAGCAATATGTTATTGTGAAGAATAGAGTGGAATAAATGTTCAAAAACAAACACATTGATTTTCAATTTGCAACCACTATAATTCACACTTCAAGTGAACTGATTGTTTAACAACAGTTACTAAAATACATCTACAGAAACTCAAAACTAGAGGATTCGGTAGACTTATCACAGAAAATTCAAAAGGAAATATAAATTTACAGAATATCTTTAAACAGCAGCACATCTGTAAATGGCTACAAATATGAAACAACTGGCAGTGGAGATTGGCATTTCAATTTAGATGAACTAATTCAGGGTACACTATTAGCAGAGTATATAGTTGTGAGATAAGATTTCACCCTAATATATACGCTTGTGTTTATTGTGGTGAAACAGTGGACAAAAATATGAACTTGAAACAATTGCTCTTGATTCTCTTGATTGCTCAGTGCCATATTGTGGCTGGTCTAACAAGTGCATGTAGCTGGAATAACTCTTCAACAGTGACTTGAGTCCCAGTGAACATAGTGCAAAGCTTATAAGCCTATTATTCTGAGAAAAGTATCACACAATATCAAATGACCAACATTTTATAAATGGCGATAATGTTTGTATGTAGGGCCCTGTTTGAAGCTAACACCATAAAGGCAAGTTAAATTAATGATACAAGAACTCTCTAAAGCACATAATACATTGTAAAAGCCAGCTCACAAGGATAAATTAAGTGCAGCAATTAAGTATATTACAGAATTACAAAAAAATAATCATCCTCCATTACATCAATTATTAGCAAATAAATAACAGTTCCAAATTTCCTCTCCTCAACTCAGTTATAGAGGAAAATGAGTTACTGACTCTGCTTGTTCAATTTCAATGAGGTAAAGATACAGTTTTGGTATATACAAGCATCTTTTTTTCTCGATTTAGCAAAGTGTGTCAATAAACTAAAATACAGGGGAAGGTTCATACTTCAATCATTTTGTGTTGCAGGATTAGGCACCAGTGGCTTAGCAGGTAGTATATCTTAATATCTTAGTTTTCTTATAACACCATCTTCATAACACTTCATATACAAGAAATTAAATCACATTCAGATAATCACAACACATCATGCCAGAAGGTAGAGAACATTAAGAGTAAGAAGCCCTACATAGTGACAGAGGGTCACCGAGGCAAAAATATTCAAAGGCAAAGCACTGTACCATATAATTAAATAGGTACACAAAATCTGAGATTCAGACAAAATTAATCCAAATTAACATAAAAAATAATCAGACCTGACTGTTAACAAATACATACTACTCACAATTACTCTATACACTATGCACATTATCTGTCACATGAGCTATTTGAAACAATTTTGATAGAACATCTTGCTTCTCTAGGTTCTTACAACTCATTAACTATTCATCAATTGAAATTATAAATTGCACATGAACACATAAGAACAGTTTAGTCTAGCGTAAAGAAACAGTTCAGATACAGAATCATCTTCATCCTCACATTTTCTTGTCAGGAAAGTGTACAACAGAAAGTCCCATGTATTCCCCAGGCGACCCATACGTATCAAATGGAATTGTATGGGGTGGGGAAGGCGTTAGTCACCAATAGTTGTTTTCAGTCTGAGGAGTCTGCATGACACCAACACCACCACCTAACCTACGGTAATTCATGGCTCCACAAAGTCGCCATTGATTCTGATCTGGGTCATACACCTCAATAGTCTTCAGGTAAGCAGTCCCATCAAACCCTCCAACAGCATAGAGCTGTCCATTGACTACTGCCAAACCAACCTGTGTAAAATAAATTAGTGTAAATGTTAACAGTGCTTTTAAGCGTTATAACTTATCATAGGTACAATTAAAGAATCAGAACTTACGCCACTCCTACGGGAAGTCATAGCAACAATTGGACTCCATGAGTTACTGTGAGGATTGTATCTTTCGGCACTCGACAATTCCATGCAGTCATCACGGCCTCCAACAGCATAAATTAAATTGTTGAATACAGCACACCCCAAATGTTTGCGCCTTGTAGACATAGGGGCAACAGGGCACCATTTGTTGGCCCTCGGATCATAACGCTCCACAGTGTTCAGAGGACACTGCCCATCTGAACCTCCAATAGCATACAAAAAGCCGCCCAACACTGCAACTGCTACGCCTAATCTCCTTGTTGTCATAGGAGCAACTTTGTACCATTTGTTTTCCTTTGGATCATACCTGTATTGAAAAGTAATAAAAATTTAATTTAAAAAATGCCTTTTAGTTGAACTGTAGGAGAGAACATACAGCAAAATTCAATTAATAGACTAACCTTTCAACATGGTTCAAGCACTGAACACCATCTTGTCCACCAACAGCGTAGAGGAAGCCATCTAGGACAGCTACTCCCACGCTTGTCCGGCAGGATGTAGTAGGAGCAACATCACATGACCACTGATTTGTTTGAGGATCATATCTGAAAAAAAATTATTATCTGTCAATAAGAACAAATGGGAAGAGCCTTAATACATTTAGTAACCGGAAACACATGTCTGCAGTCCTTCAGTTTTCTGAACTGAGAAACAATTTATCTAACCTTTCTATGCTATTCAAATAAGACTGTCCGTCATGGCCTCCAACTGCATAAAGAAGATCATTCAACACTGCAACACCAACACCACAGCGGCGTTTGCTCATTGGTGCAACCATTTTCCAGTCCATTGTTTGAGGATCAAATCTCTCCACAGATGCGATTGCATCTCCACTGCACCAGCCTCCAACTGTAACAGGAAATCCAGTTATGAAAAGCATGTCATTTGTGGATCAGAAAATAAACTTTCATTGTTTTCTTATTTCAAAATCATTTTTTGACCTTAATTGAACTTAAAGTATCACTGTGTAAAGAGACAAAATTACCGGCAAACAGAACCTCTCCTCGACGCATTGGTTTCCGGGGTCGTGTCCTAGGGCCCTGCATTAAAGGCCTCTCTTGGGGCAGTAATAAATAGTTTTTAGCCTCATCAACCAAATCTCTGCAAGCCTCATCACTTCTAACCAAGAGCTCTGAACCCACAGTGCCAACCAAAAATTTAGGACCGAGAAGTGGCAACCGCACATGTTGCAAAGCCTATATAATAAAACAAGAACATTGTATAGTGTGTGTAAGAAACAGATAAGAAATTGACTCAGATACCAATTATACACACTTGAGATAAATGTTGTCTTCTCTCTGATACATTGTATTTGACCCAATTCATGACAGCACTGAATACATGTTCTTCAGACCTCACATTGAGTTCATCACTTGAGATAATGTCAACTAGCTGTCCAACTGGCAAAAGTAGGAACTCTTCACTTTCCATTACCTGGAATAGAACCAAATAAGTTCAAGCAGGTGAATGAGAGAAGTGGTTTGTGCTGTTGAGAGAGGAGAAGTAATAATTTATAGCATACCTCTTGGAAATTATGCTGAGTAAATTTGTCCGCAATACGGAGTAATTCTCTGCATGCATGAGTATCGGCAAATGCCCGAATACCCAAACAGTTTGATGGATCCAGCTGCCGTTTTAAAAATTCACAACATATATCTTGAATTTCGGCCAACTGTAGAAGACAAGCTGCAAAATATGATGAAGATGCAGGTAAGCCCAAATAAGTAACCAAATTAATTCAAGATGAAATATTGATAAAGTTTATACCAGCTGGTAGTAATGTTTGTACGTTTCCTTCCTCAACAACAATGTTTGATGAATAACAAAAGTCAATAAGCAATTCCATGGCCAATTCATCAATGTCTCGTATGGTAACTTCAGTTTGTCTAGATTCTGCCAACTCCCCTGTGAACATTGCTCTGAAGTATGGACTGCACGCTGACAATATCACCCTAAAAAAATAAGAGGAAACACCAAATAATGAAAGGAATTTGTATGCAGCGAAACATGTTTATACCAAGAAACAAAAAGCCTACCTATGCGCAAATATTTTACGACTTCCCACATTGAGAACAACATCACAGAGTTCGCGATGGCGTCGTAGTACACTTAACTCATTAAGTGTACAACGTGCATGTTTGTCAGATGTGTGTGCGAGACGAGCTGGAGATGGGGGTCGATCCCCCAATTCCAGGTCGTTCATCCTTCGCTCCACTGCGCCCAACGAATGCAAACGCAATCGAGGGGACGCTGGGAAACCCCACTCTGAGTCAATCTGCAAGCAAAAAAATTTCCATAAGCAATATGACCTTCCATAATAATGCATACAGCCAATACCCTAAACAGTCATTTTATGAACAAAAAGAGACGTAAAAGAATTCAAGAAAGACACAACTGGAGTCCCGAACACAGAATATATCTAATTGCATGTGTCACAAACACAAATGAAAATTTGAAACTCTGGTCAGTGAGTATATAACCGATCATAACAAGTTTGACAACTAAGCGATGTAATCACAACAAACAAAAAATAATTAAAGAACATGCAGATCAAAAGCTGCAGTGAGCACATCAACAGAAATAGAAATAAACAATATTGTGGACTCTTGGATAACTTACTTTGCTATCTGTAAAGTCGTTCGAAAAGAGATCTGGCCCACAAGGAAAAGGTCTGCAAGCTGAGTGGTCTAACGCATTTGGACGATCAGACATTTACTTGAAATTGTGGAAAACTTTGCCAAAAAAGGGCACGAACTGACGGTGACATTATTTTTTCGAACCTAACCCAAAGCAAAGCAAAACTTCAAGTGACTCCACATCAGTGAAAACCTTGGGCAGAGAGAAGTCATTTAAAGTTCAGGTCAATTCTGATCAACGAAAAAGAACGTTGAAGCTTGATACTAGCGCAACCAATCTTAATTTGATATTGTTTTGTATCGATTGAACCAATTTCAAAACATTAAGAATAAACTAGGGTTCTAAAACACCTGCAGGCACCGCGCCTTGGAGACTCTCTTCTCTGCCCAGCAGCCCACATCGATTTCATGACGATCGACCACAACATTCTTATGTCAGCTGTGTGCCGTGTGCAGGAAGTCCTTTGACGGTATTTTCTTTCCAGGGAAAAGGCTATTTATAGCAAGTTGTCCGACCCTAAAGCAACAAAATGGTAAGAATTTTGTTTCTTCCGGACCCTTGTCTACTCCCCGATGGATTTCCATCACGATATTTTTGTCAGAACTGGCTCGCAGCAACTCCCCCCGCAGCTTGGCCGTATCTAACCCCTTATCTCCAGTTGTCATTTGATGATTAAAATACGGGCCAGTTCGCTGTATTCACTCTTTTCTCCGTTTTTGCCTACGTTCGTTGACCCCCGACCTCCTTGCTTTTCAACGAAGCGTTTTCTGCCCAGTCGTATGGGCCGTCGATACTGTACTTACATGCCACCAGACAACTTGTTAGTATATCTGATCTGAAAGTCAAGTGTGTTGTGTGTCAGTCCTTATGTTAGTGTTCACATCTACTTTTACATGTCGAAAGGAAATCAAACCAGTATCAACTCTTAACTCTGTCAATTTTCATTCAGTAGACAATTTCATTTTCATTTATATAATAAACCTTTATATGCAGTGCTTTGCAAATCACTGCTGCCTGTAATCTTTGAAGCTCACCTCTTTTATTCTGTTTCAGTCGTTCACTGAGAAAATCGGCCAACTCATGCAGCGCCCTGGACAAGATGCCATTCCTAACGATGATGTGCCATGGTGGATGAAATATGCAGGAAGAGGGCTCGGAACTGTCGGTGGAGGAAGTATGTACCGTATTTCTTTACAAAAACAAACAAAATAAAAAAAGAAAGAAAAAATTAAAATCCTTATGAAATGTTGGACAGCACCTTTAATCTGAAACTTTTTTTCTTGCAGTTGCTATCTTCCTGGGTGTCTGGGTTTGCACAGGTATCCTATTTGCTGAAGTGAACTGCCTTATTGCGGGAATTTGGCAGATGTAAGTTAATTTTCACTGTAGCCTGAACTTGGTTGCCTCTGAAGTTTTCCTAAACAGATGTTTAGTAACACCACATTAATTGATCCTTTTTGGATGACAGGTTGGCTGGTTTTATCACCATTGTTATTGAAGCACCATGTTGCTGCATGTTTCTTGACTTTGTGCAGAACATTAGTAACTTCATGGAGCAGCGTCCCTATTATTACAGAGGAGGACTTTACATTGCGTAAGTCAACACTGTGTACATGTCTGCTTAATTAAACTCTTTTTTTTTCCTAATTGTCCTGCAAAATTTGTTTTAGGATTGCCTTGCCCGCTGTTGTTCTCTGCGCCAACTTGAGCACCATCTTCGGCAGTGGTCTCATCTTTGGCACTGGTGTCATTTATGGAATGATGTCTCTTGGAAAGAAGTAAGTACTGGTGTACTTTTTAATCGTACTTCTATCATCCTTCTTTTCTTACCATTTCAAGCAAAAGTTCATTTTAACAATAATATGTATTAATGAGTTAATACTTTTAATGGTGTGTTGTAAATAAGTGCTTGGACATTAAAATCATTAACATCTTATGTAGGGGAAGCTCAATATACAAATATATTTGCTGAGTAGCTCCTTCCTCTAATGCATTCCTTATAGTTATCATTTCCTACCTTGTCACTAACTGCAGCTGTCCAAGCTTTTGGTGTGGTTTTAATTTTGGGCATTAATTTTAATATAAAATGCATACCGGTTTTGTTGTCTCTTGTTTATGGGTGTGAGTGACAGGTGTGTGAGTGGGAGTGAGTGAGTGTTTAACATCTGTTGTGTGTGTCTGGTCTATGGCAGAGGCTCGCGGCAGGACATGGCCGCGATGGCCTCCCCAACGGGCAGTGCGCCACTGCCCGTGGACCAAAAGTCTACCCTCATGGAGGATCCTGATGTTTGGCGTCCTTAAATAAGTTCTTCATCTTTGTTTCAAGGCACTGAGGTGCTTCAAAGGCAATGCACTTTCCTTTTACCTTTATTTTTCTGTGTGTTTTGTTTAGCATCAGAGCATGTACCCAATTTGTTGAGTTTAGAATTTGTAGGACATGAGGCTAATATCTTCATTTGCTGTTTTGATCTGTTTTGTAACTGAGCAAAATCTGTGCTTAGTCGTTTGTATCATTCATTTATGATCATGGTTTTTGACAACTTTAATTTTGTCGTGCAGATTTTTGTCTTGTTGTGTTTTTAGTAGTGCCTGAAAGTTGCAAAATAGGACTTGCTTTACCTTGAAGTTGTTTTAATTTTTGCCGGGCTATGATTCAACTCAAATTTGCTTAGCTTACTGTTTTAAAGTAGCTTTTCTGAAGTCTTGTAAAACATAAAATATTTTTGTTGTAGTGTTGTGTTACTTCAATGCATAACAAGTTAAGATTTGAGTCTTGTATTTCTTCTTGACTTCCAACTTTCTGGAGTGATTATTATCTTGACTTAGTTTTAAAATTACATTTTTGTAGTCTTTTAAAAAATATGAAGGCATTTTCCCAGCAGGACAGCATGTTTGGTGCCATTCTGCTAGTGATTATTTTGGTACTTTCTTCTTTTACTGTAGACTAGGGGAATGTTTAAGATTTGTGCTTTGCCTGGAGTGTTAAGAGATAGGTTGTAAGTTATTCATTGTCAGCAAGTGGAGAATATACCCTCATTATTGGGGCTTTGCTTGTTCTGTCAGTCTAGCTAACTCTAGCTTTGCCAATGTCCTCAGCTTTGTGAGAGTTGTTTATGAACTGCTTTATGTTGGACTTTGTGTTGTAAGCTTCTTTGTATTGTCTCTAACAGTATAAGGTCTCTGCACCTGTAATGAGACTTCCTCTTTTTGAAATGAAAAATGAATAATAATAATAATTGTGTTTTTTCTTGCAGGGCGACTGCTGAAGAGATGAGATCAAAGGCAGCAGCTGCTGGTACTTCATCTGGCCCATCCGATGTTCCCAATTCTGGCATGAAATCATCATTAGTAGATAATGCACAGCCTGTTGGATTTACAGGCTCCCCATTTGACAGTAATGTATAATGCATCTCTGTGTGCTCAAAGGTGTAAAAATTGAACAAAGCCACTATTTATTTCTGTTGCCTGTTCCATTTGGGTTTCTTCCCCTGTTGATGTAGATGTATTCAGTTAAATATTGTTACAATCTCTTGAAGTTATGTTGTGAGCATCAAGTGGAGATGCAGTGATTTCTGGTTATATAAATTTACAGGTATGAGTCATGTTTAGGAACTCTATAAAGTTCGCCTAGTAGTGTATTAAGGTGTTAAAGGAAGAGTCATTACGTATGTTATCTTTTATTTCTTAGGGGGTATACATCCTGTAAGTTTGTAACCCTGTTATGAGGAACACATTCCAAAGTTTGTGGAAATGCCGCTTTAGGACTTTCAGGAATTACAAAGGCAAATGCAACTCTGTAGCAATGTTTTTAGGCATTATCCAAAGAAGTATTTCCTGTTTGTAGTTTTAGCCAGCATTGCCAAATGAAGTATGTGTGTTATAAAGTTGCTTTCCCATACATTTTCCCTTCCCTATCAGTACCTTGTGTTCTTCATATACACTCAGACTTGCTCTGTGGCATTTCTCACTGGAGATGCCGTAAGCCATTCCACTTCCTTTGGTTTGTTGAGGTGTATAGGTTTCCATTTTATATTTTGTCTTATAAATGTGTGTTGTACAGTAGATTGGGCAGCTGCCTCCTGATAGTCATTTAATTAATTGTGCCCAATGGCTGGAAGTTTCAAATTATTTTGAAACTTAATTTTTATTAGTTTAGAACAATTAGGAATGAGTTATGGAAATTTGCAAAAGCACATTCATAAATTATAGAAAAGAAATGGTTTTTCTTTGTTCTTTTGCAGAGACCTTGTTGATTTAGTATGTTCAAAATGTATAAACTGACTGAAGCTTTTAAGAGTTGTAATTGAAATTGTTTTAAATATATTGCTGTGGATTGTCTTCACCTGACAAACAGTTTCATGAACGAGTTTTAATGCCCTAGTTTATAGTAGTTTTATAGAAGGCATGGTGTTACCTTTGACAACTTAGTTTTTACCCTTGTATTGAACTCATGAGTATCTTTTTTAACCGTGACCCTTCCTTAATGTCTTGCCAAAGCTTCAGTAATGTGGTTTTGATTTGATTTTAAGTCACCTGAAGTATTATTGTTTGTATCATGGTTTGCATGATGTCCTGTTGCCTTCTCTTATCCTAACTTTTACTCTTTAGTGTCGTCCCATCCCACATTGTTCAACTTTCTTCCTGCATCAATATTACTTGTGGAGTTCAGTACTTATGAATATGTTCTTCTTGCATTATAAAAATGTGATTTATGTATTAATTTGTTGTTTTAATTTGTTTAGTGTTTAGAGTTTTGTTTCTGTGACACTGTTTACTCTTGTCTCAGCTGAGATTTTTGGATATGTTTTGATTTGAAGAGCCTCCTTTGCTTGTGCCGAATATTTCCATCATGGAAAGTGAATCACTATTGAATGATCTTCCTAAAAACAAGACATCCTTTGTTATGTTTGGTAAACTTTCCTCCTAGTGGAAATGTAGTTTAGAAAAAAGAAATTTTGTTATTATTTTTTCTTCCACCGGCTATCCAAAAGAATTAGTTCTGTTTTGAAGAGACTATTTGCAATATTTGTCTGTCAAAATTACAAATTCAAAATAACTATCTGAGTAGCACAGCAGCTGCTTTCATATCTGTCCTGTTTTTTTTTTTTTGTTTTTTTTTTATGTACAACAGATGAAGATTGAACATTCCTGTGAACAAAAGATGCTTTGGTGTAAAGTTATTCACAAATGTGCTTGAGCCTTTGTGTATAGTTTATTTTGGTTTGTTCTCATTTTAAAGGTAGTGATATTGAGTCTGTTTTTCAAGTCTGATTTCCTTTCCATTTTTCCTCTATTTCTTCCTTCATTACTTGTTTATGGGGACCCATGATAGTTCATGGCTCTATGAGTGTTTGGAAAAAAAGTGGTGGTTGAAGATGGGCGGTGCAGACAGGAGGCTGGACAAAGATTATGAGATTATGGAATTTAATTTTTAGGGCTGCTGTGCTTTAATTTTTTTTGCTTCAGGCATGAATACACACCATGTGAACTATGTGCTTGTCAAGTTAGTTCTAGCTTACCTTGAAACATAGATGTGTAGCGGATCAGGAGTTCTGAAGCATTTTAAATAATTACGCTGCTTGTTTTTTCCCTTGATGCTGTACACAATATAGTTGTACTGCAATGTTGGAGATTTCCATATTTACTTGTCCCAAATTGAATACATTCTTCTTCTGGCACCACTAATAAAATCTAAAAAGTTAACAAAATGCATGGTGTATTGTATTGTCAGTAATTGTTAGTGTAACATTTGGGATGTTGGCTGTATCTCAGCTAAATCACATTTTTAATTTTCTTTTATATCTAATTTTGGTTTGCTTTTTCTGAACATATATATGTGTGAATTAAATTAATGTTTCCAATATTGTCTGTTTTCCTCTGTAGAAAGTGGGATATTAGTATAAAATTTGTTAGGGCTAAACATATCATTTTCCTGAATTTATCATTGTGCAGATGTTACACTTTGAAATCACTGTAGCTATGTATCATGGTATGCATAGGATGATTGCGATAGTCTTCTAATTATTACATCGCACAGATGTTTGTCTCTCCTTGACATTGCTTTTCCCATCTACTGCAGGGCTTTCACATGAATGAGAACTTGGCACATCCCTCATATCATGTAATGTAATACTTATTGGCTCAAGTGAAGTAAAACTATATGTGTGGGCCTATAATGAAGGTGTATGTTCTAAGCTTTTTAGAAATGATTCGTGCTCTATAGCAGAAAATATTCACTCATGATGAAGTGCTATGAAGAAATATGCCTCTGTGACCCAACCTCCTAATTTCAACTGCCACGTTACTGCTTCACTAATTTTTTTCTTAAATTTTGCTAAAACTTTGATTCTGACCATGGATGATATGCATTTACAATTTGGACCTTGAATTGTGAAAACAAAAGTTATTTTTTGGAAAACAAAGTATTTTTTAGTTTATTTTGTCACAAAAGTAAAATGGTTTCTGAAGTTTTTTTTTTGTGCTTTTGCTTTTGAGGCTGTTTGTTTGACAAAGAAATAAGGTATGATGTGAGTTATTAGTGGTGGCATAAATATTGCTCATACCAAGCTTGTCTTATGGAAAAAAACCCCGATGCAATGGGCCTCGTTTCAGGGATCACTGTATTCAAGTGCAATAATTTCTTATTAATTGAAGTGCATTTATGTGAGAAGGGGAAAAGGAGTGTTGGGCAGGGGCTAATTCGCTTTGTTGATAATTCAAAAGGGGGTCATATAACTTATTTATTAACTAATGCAACCCCAGTAATTTCTACAATGTTATTAACTGTATGTTCTTGAAATGCACAAGTTGTCAAATGCCAGAGTAGAACCATGTTGTAAGTCTCCTTGATTGTTGGGAAGCTCTATTTATGCCACATGTTCAACCGAGTTAACATCAATATGGCTGTGTTTACAGGAATGAATTTCAGTTTGTCAATTATCAGCCTTCATATTTTGAGACTGTTGCCAACTGAAGAAGCGAATAAAATGTAGTAGGATTATACAGTGTGATTTTTTTATTCATTTGGCTTTTCCCATTTTTCCAACTCAAACAAAAAGTGACTAGTTACAGTATTGAGCAGTGGGCTCTCACAAATGAGCTGAAGTAATTCAGTGAAATCTTTCAATAAGAAAAAAAAAAGGAAGCCACAGCCTCTACACTATTATTATGAGATCTAAGTGCAAATGCTGTCCCTTGACAAAAAACCCCTGAACGAATGTGATGGTATTCCGACCCCCGACCCCCCCCCCCTCTAAAGAAAAACCTGCAGTGGTTGGTGATGAAGTGACATCACTGCTTCATTGTGGTCTGGATCCAGTCAAGGAACTCTGTGACTCTCGTATATACGCCGGGGTATCCTGCCTCGGCGCAGCGAAGTCCGTATGATACCACACCGATGAGGTAGTAAGTTCCTTCCCAAGGCCACACCAAAGGCCCTCCAGAATCGCCCTGCATACAAAAAAGACGCGTCAAAAGATTACGTACTTGGGACTCGTATCAACAGTCTCGCTCGAACCACTCGAGCCAGTACAGCCGAGGGCTTACGAGCACCGTCTTTCAAGTCTCGAAACTGGAGTTCGACTCCACAGCATGCACGATTTTTGAAAAGCTCCTTACCTGACAAGCGTCCTTGCCACCTCGCTCCAGCCCTGCGCAAATGGTCCTGTTGTCGATGGTGGCGGTCTTGATGTTGGCGAAGGCACTCCGACATTCGTCGACAGAGACGACGGGCAGCTGCACTTGCATTAATGCCGTGCTGCTGGGCCCATCTGAAAGAACGGGAACAAGGGCACTGAAGACATGAAAATCTTGGCGCGGTTCCGCCCAGTGCTTGAAGGGCTGACCACGGTGCACTTACTGAAATAGGTGGATCCCCAGCCCGCCGTGAAGGGGTTCTCCCTGACGAAGGACCGCTTCCGAAGGTCTGGCCTCATGGGCAGGCAGGCGGGCTCAATCCCGTCTGCAAGCAGCCACCCAGATGGAAAGAAATAATCAGCCACAAAGTTTATTCGAAGTTGACTGCCACGCACGCACACGCTTACCGGTGGCTGGTGCCGGTTCCTTGAGTGTGAGGATGGCGATGTCGTTGGTGAACCTGGTGGGGCTGTAGTCCGGGTGGACGTGCTTGGCGGCGATCTCGATGTCCACGGGGCTGGCGCCGTCCTCGTCGTCCTCCAGGTCCAGCTCCCCGAGTCGCGCTAGGTAGCTGCAGCAAGCAGAAGCAGGCCCAAGGTCAAACCTCATCCCCATTCCTCCACCATGTCCTTTGGCGCCACCGGCTGGCTCGGCGTACCGAACAGTGGGGGGAACAGAGGGGGGAGAGAGAGTGAGGGAGAGAGAGAGAGAGAGAGAGAGAGAGAGAGAGAGAGAGAGAGAGACGGCGACAATGAGCACTGTCCGGCATTTCGCTACCGCAGGCGTGCACGCCTTGAAGGCTACTCACAGGGTGCTCTTCTGGTACACGCAGTGCCCCGCCGTGATGACGTGGCGGTCGGACACCAGGGTGGCGCCGCACTTGAACTGGGGACGGCCCTTGAGGGAGCTGCGGGGGTGCGTCTTGTAGCCCAGCGCAACGATCCACGGCCACTCGCCTGCGGGACAAGGGGCGGTGAGGCGAGGCGGCCCTCGAGACTCGCCGAGCACGCGCGTGTCACGCAGTGTCACGCAGTGTCACGGCAACGGAGAACACTTCACCAAAATCCAGAGCCCTCAAAGCCACACCGACGAGTCTAACTCACCAAACCGCCATCAACACCACAACCATCACCCACAACCACCACCGCCACCACCTTCGAAGGTTGCACGGTTCGACTACGCGACGAGGGAGGCAACACGGGCTTCGGGTTTCACACAAATAACGGTGCGATTTTGTTTTAGCTTTGATTGTTTTGTTTTTGTCTAAGCTTTAATGTCGCACAGACGTCGCGGCGCGAAGCTGAGCAGGCGGCCGACGTGCTGGGGGATGGGGTTGTCGGGGCAGGAGCCCGACCAGCGGGCCTTCACCGTCTCTGCAACAACAGGGGGAGCCAAGGCATGCGGCATGCAGCGGGGAGGGTGGAGGCGCGCGCACTAAGCGCACTCACCATTGCGCGCCGGCAGCCCGCCGACGACGCGGGTCAGGCCGGTGCTGGCGTGCTGGCGGCCACAGCTGCGCGCCGAGATGGAGGGCACCTCGGTGGGGAAGTTGTCCTTGGAGACGCCGTCGACCGGCAGGGGCGTGAAGCCGGACACCCGGGACCAGTCCGGGATCTGGCCGCCTTGCGAGGGCGCGCGGCCCCGCTGTGGGCAGCACACCTTGGGCGTGCGCCCTTCGAACCTGCAACCGGCGTCCAGGTCAGCGAGTTCGAACACCAGCCCGATCGGTTTTTCACTGCTAGAGTCCTGCGTTCTTGAAACGAAACGGATAATGTTTTCCCTCATTGCTTCTGAACCCTCAAGGAGGGTAAAATGAGCGAGCCGATTGCAGGTCTCTGTCCAAGGTACGATCAGCGCGTTTAGCCCACTATCTTCAACGGGTTAGAAGCCATGAGTGAAAAACTGCTACGCCAATTCGTTCCAAAAATGTCTGTCTTGAGGCCAACCCTATGTGTCTCCAACACATGTAGGCCTCCATTCACAAGTAGGCCCCCCTCACGACGCACTGACCCGCACTGCGAGCGCCGCAGGAAGTCCACCTGCACGGAGTTGAGCCGCTGCTGCATCAGCGTGTAGAGGGGGTGGCAGTTTTGGATGCGCATGCAGCTTCCGGGGAGGTTGGCCGGGGTGCTGCAGTCCGAGGGGAGCTCCAGGTCTGCGTGGTGCGGATGGAACGGGTGGAACGGACGAGAGGTTAGGTTAGGCTGGTCGGGACTGGATGCACCAACTCGTGGTCGACTTGCCTTTGGTCGTCGCCTCCGGGAGGTCCTCGAAGGGCCGCGGGGTGGCGTTCACGGAGTTGGGCTTCCTGCTGACCACCGCGGTGGCGGTGTGCGACAGGGCGCACAACGCCAGCAGGACGCCGAGCACTGCGCGGGGGTGCGCCATTGCTGCCAACAGCCAGACGCGAACCCTTGAACGGCCGGGCGGGGCGGGGCGGGACGCGTCGGATCATCTCACCCCCAGCCACCGCGCGCCCCGCACAGTGGGCCAGAAGACCGGTGGATGTGGCCAAAACTCTAGACGTCTTTTGAGCGCAGAAGTCGCTAAATGGGACTCGAACCGAACGTGTGACCCACCTATGGACTGCTCTCCGAACGAGGAATCTATTGGTAGGGTCACAGGCTCGGTTCGAGTCCTGTTTTAGCGACTCTGGAGCTGAAAACGCGTCTAGAGTTTTGGCCGCCGGCGCCGGTCTTCAGGCCGACTGTGCGCCGGCCTCTGCGCGGAGCGTCGTTTTGATATGCAAATCGAATTTTGGCGGGGTAAGGCGCGACGACGTACCTGAGCGGTGGCGCGGCGCGGCAGCGGCGGCAGCGGGCTGCAATCAACACCCACCGCCAGTGACTACAGCGTGGACGCGGTGCGCGCGCCGCGCCGCGCTCTACACTGCTGACACCAAAGAAAAGAAACACCGTGGAACAGGGCGAACGCTGTCAGTGTGCGCGCAAGCTTGACCGCGACGGTGCACTACTACCGCGTGGTGGCGTGCCGCGCCGTGTCGCCCAAAATGACCCTTCCAGAACGTCCCGGGACGGCGCGCGTCCGCGCGTGCTAGTGTAGTGTATAGTCGCGGGCCGCGGTGCTGCCGACCACAAGCACGTACTTGATTGGCGGGCGGTTCGAACCGACGCCGCCGGCAACGACGCGGGCGGCAAAGTGGCGGCTGTTTTCCTCGCGGTGCCGACTGCCGACCACGCCGTCGTCGCGGGACTTCGCGCGCGGTGCTCGGCGACGGCCAACACCTTCTGTGCCCGTGGGGGCGGGGGTGGGGCGGCACGTCGGCCCGGGACGCCCGGGACTCGCCCGGGACTCGTCGGCCGTCCGCGCTGCAGTAGCAGTGCGACAGTACCCGGCAATTAGGCCGCCGTATCTGCGGACTGCCCCGCGGACGGACAAGGCGGTTCCGTTTTGGAAGATTTGCATGCGATTTATGACACACGCGCCCCTCGGCCGCGGCCCGCAATGCGGCTCTGTCTCTCTCGCACTCAAGGGGCGACCCGCGCGGGTGCGACAGAGACAGCGCTTCGAACCGCCGACCGCTGTGCGCGGAATCAGTCTGCAGGGGGCACCTAATCGCGGCGCCGTGTTTTCGCTGCGAGTTGGCCTTTTGCTTCGCGTTTTGCCTCGGCCTGTCCTGGAGGCGTGTTCGTCCTTTCCGACTCGCCAGCCGGCTGGCTCCGAACAGTGCTCCGTTCTTTCTCTGTCTCGCCCAATGAGTACGAGAGAGACGGAGCGACGAGATCGCTGGGGCTGGCCGAAGGCATCCCGAAGGCATCCCGGAGGCATCCCGGAGGCATCCCGAAGGCATCCCGAAGGCATCCCGAAGGCATCCCGAAGGCATCCCGAAGGCATCCCGAAGGCATCCCGAAGGCATCACGAACGCATCCCGAAGGCGGGCCTCCGCTCTGCGTACTCACCGCGAGGGTGGGACAGGGTGTGTGACGGGACGGGGTGTGGGTGCCTGGGGGAGGTCCGGGGCGGTCCGTCAACGCTGTGGTCCGCAGGTCCGCAGGCCGCCAGGTCGTTCCTGCTTCCTGCCGCGCGCTCCCTCCAAGTGAGACTGAAGTGAGTCTCAAAGTGCCGCTTGCCGCTCTGAGATTCTCCAGTGGCCGCTAACCTTAACCGTGAGGCTGTGCGACTGCCGGAGCAGAGGGAGGGGAGGGGCAGGGGCGGGGGCAGAGGGAGGGGGCGGCCTTGGGGGCCTTGGCGGCTCGTTGGGTCAGTGGTCGCGCGGGCTGCGCGGGCGGGCCGGTCATCGCGCACCATACGGCACGGCGCCAGCAACGCCAGCAAGTGCACCAAGCTGGCCGTTCCGTTCGTTTGGAGGACGCCGCGCGCCGTGCGCCCGTTTTATGTTCGTGACTTGAAGACAGTGCCGGATCCAGAGCCGACCCGAGGGGAGCGGGGAAAGTAGCATTCTTTGGCTACTTACAAGGGTAAAGTGTTTCTTTTGGCCTACCTTTCAGGCGGCCATCTAGGTGGTGGTGGTGGTGGGAAGAATTGCCCTTTTGCCCTCTTCCGCCACTGAATCCACACTTGCTCGAAGTTTCCACAGCCGCAGTCCGCCAGTCCGTAACCCGTAGAAGTCGTGTTTTGCGACCATTCGCCTCGTATCAAGCTTCCTATTTTTATTTTACTGGTGCCTGAGCTTCCCCTGCCTTCTCTGCGTCTTCTCTCGCGGCCCTTGGTGCAGGCTTGCCGGGGAATCCCCGCTGCAGCGCGACTTACCGACTGGTCATCGGTCAACGCACGCACGCTCCAGGGAGGAAGTGAGCGGCTAGCCTCGGCGCGGTGCGGCGCGCGCGGCCCGAGTTCGAGTTCCGGTCTTGGAATTCCCCCCCGCCCTCTGGACCTTCTGGCGGCGCGGAGCGTCCGGAGGCTGCGCAATGACAGGCAATGCTTGCCGTACGCAGGGTCTCTAGGAGGGGCATGAGGAGGCCGCGCTGTCCGCGTGCCTTACTGACCGACAGGCGTGCCAAAATTCAACAGTGCACAGCAGCGCGGCACAGCGCGCAGTCGCACAACCGCCGCCCGGCCGGAAAGACATTTCAGCTGGAAAAAAACAGTCGCTTGGACCCGGCCGCTCAAGGTGGACAGGGCTAAGGTTCGTTGCCCCCTGCCCTTGGCCGTCGTGCACGAGGCGTGACGTCATCGTGACGTTGCTGTGACGTAGTCGTGACGTAGCCGTGACGCTACGACCATTGCGTGACCTCCTAGCGCCCCGCGGCGGCTAGAAAGTCACGCAGAGTGACGGGACGGTGAGGTGAGCCTGAGCCGCCACAGTCCGAGGCGGGTCGGAGCGCCTGCGAGGTAGGCAACTTCTCGCGCGCGGCGCGCACGCCTGCTCGGCAGAGTTGCCTACCCCCGACTACACAGGCGCTAGGCGCGCGAGGCTAGCGAGGCGCGTGGCGCGAAGCGGTAGAACGAGACCACTGGCCGGCGCAGGGAGTATCGCCGCCCGCCCGGCCAGTCACTGTCCATGCGCGCGAGGTGTATCGACGCGGGCCTGCCGCCCTGAACGGAGGGAATGCCGGTTGCTGGGGCTTTATTAAAGGGATGATAAGGCATTTATCTTATGTTAATTTATTCCAGTCACGTAGACACCATTTGACTTGTCATGATAACAATAAGTGTGAGTAGTCCGGGACAGTCAGTCTTCCTAGGCCATCAAGGGCCTTTCGAGAAAACAAAATAAATTAATGCACCACTGTTTTTCAACTATTTTCTAGTTTTAGTCCCCCCACGCCCACGCACCCACACAAACACACCCCTGCGCACACACACAAACACACACACTGACACACGCACTCGCACACACGAACACACGCCACTACACGGTGCCCAGTGCGCAGCGCTCCTCGCACGTGTCAAAGGAGGCGCCGTCCGTGAAGGTGGCGGCCACGTTGGCGGCCCAGCGCGGCTGGTCCTGCCCCAGGTAGTGGCCGGCGTTGCGCACCAGGACGTGGGTCAGGCCCGTCAGGCCGCGCACGGTCTTGGCGTAGCCGGCGAGCTGGCCGCGGACGCACCACGTGACGCGCGGCGCCGAGGCCCACTGGTCCGCGCCGCTCCACGCCATGGCGCGCAGGAAGTTGGCCGTGAGGCGGTACGGCAGGCACAGGTCCATCTGGCCGCTCACCACCAGCACGCGCACCGGCGAGTCGGCCAGCTCGGCCAGCATGGGCAGCGCCGACACGGCCAGGTCGTCGCGCAGCGCGGCGGCCACGGCGGACGCGCGGGCCTGCGGGGTGGGGGCAAAGCACGGCGTCAGTGAGACAGGACAGAGATAGCGGTTTACATGCAGAGCGCGAAAGACAAGACTTTATTGAGGTGATCAAGTTTGTTCGATAGGCCGAATACGATAGCTGCAATCGAAAATCCGATCCGTTCAACCAAAAGCTCGTTGCTTCGACCGGAAGGACACGGCAGATTTTCAGTAGCTATCGAATTTTGTCCATCAAACAAGGTCGATTGCCACAACAAAGTATTTATCTTTCCTGAGGCCAGTTGCGGATCCACGGGGGAGGCAGGGGTTGAGAAAACGCCCCCCTGAGAGGGAGAGGCAGGCAAAAAGTCGCACTTCGCCCCTGCGTCCCATCGAACCCGTCCCTGGATCCACCCCTTCCCGAGGCACTGCAAGTGGAAGCGCGGCGAGGCGCTGACCGTGAAGGGCGTGTTGCCGACGTGCAGCGCGCGCCGGATGAAGGCGTGCTGCGCCAGGTCGGAGAAGCCGTCGTCCTGCGTGCCGTTCCACAGCAGGTAGTTGGTGAGCCCCGCCATGCCCGTCTCCTGCGGCGACACGACGCTGCCGCACTCGTCCTTGGACAGCTTGAGCGCCTCCAGCCAGCGGCCCTCGCGCACCAGCCGCAGCTGCTCGGCGGCAGCGGCCTTCATCTCGTCGCGGCCGGCCTCGTCCACCAGCCCCAGGTTGTACACGATGTCGCTCTTGTCCAGCTGCGAGCGAGAACTTTCTTTTAATCCCAGAAATTCGGGCAAACTCGACGACTTTGTGTTTGCGTTGCAGATTCGCGACTTGCCTGCGACTCGACGTCCACCAGCCCGTTGATGACCATGACCCCCTTGAGGTTGAAGGCGGCCGAGGGGTCCGCGGGCTCCGGCAGGCGGTAGATGGCGTGGGCCAGCGCGGTGGCCATCTTGCCGCCGAACGACTCGCCCGCGATGTACAGGTCGCGGGTGCGCTGCCCGGGGAACATGACGAAGAACTGTCGCAGCGCCTCAATGAGGGAGCGGCTGATCTGGAGGGGATTGCGTCAGCGCGCGCAATGCGTCAATGTTTGCCAACAAACACGCCACCGAACGCGGCAGCACGGCAGCTTGGCCATCGGCCGGAAGGAAAAACGCTCGTCAGCGAGCTGGCCACGCACCTCCCCCACGGTCTTGGACAGGCCGTCCGGGCTGCCGGTGAAGCTGTAGCCCGTGCCCACGGGGTTGTCGAAGTACAGCATGTTGTGGCGCTGCGTCCAGGTGCCCTGGCGCCGCTCCAGCCTGCCGGACTTGCCGTCCAGGCGGTACGGGCCGTTCTCCAGGAAGACGGGCCGCATCATGCTGGTGCCGGGGCCGCCCTGCAACAAGCGCCAGTGCGCCGTGTTGACGGAGGCTCGGGGGCTGCACGACGGCGACCTCAAGGGCCAGGCGGGTGGTCACCTTGCCTCGAGGGCCAGGACGGGGGGTCACCTTGCCTGCAGCCAGACGACGAGCGGCGCCTTCTTGGGGCGCGTCTCGGCGCGGAAGAACCAGAACAGGAGGTTGGAGTCGTGCTCCTTGTCCACGGTGAGGAAGCCCGAGTAGCTGGTGCAACAGCCCGAGGCCAGCAGGGCGGGCACCTCGGCCAGCGTCCTGGCGCCCGTCACGTTGCCCGCCTCCAGCAGCGGCGTGAGGCGCAGCGGCGGCGGGTCCGGGTCGACGGCGTCGTTGTTGTTGGAGGCCGCCTCGTCCGCCGCCGCCTTGACGCCGTCCATGGCGAGGCACAGCGACCAGCAGGGCGGCAGCAGCAGCACCGCCAGCGCGGCGTGCAGCGCGGCGTGGAGGAACATGGTCGCCTGCCGACACGAAGCGCAGCGAATTACCCCGACCGTTCGGCGTTCGGGCAGCCAGGCTACACAGCGCCGCCGTTTGTTTGGCGTTTGGCGATTTGCACCTGATAGTGCTGCTCTTCGCCCTTCCGCAGTGCGCTGTGTCGGCGCCGCGTCAGCCCGCGAGTGACTGGGAGACACTGGGAGACGGGCCGCGGGACGGTTCGGGCCGGGCCTGCCTGCCTGGGCCCTGCTGAGCGGTGCAGCGCGGAGCACGCGTCGTGTCGGCGACAGCGACAGCGCGGCCCGCAAACACCGTCTGGCCAGGCCAAGTCCCACACAGTTATCGTTTCCTCATGCAACTACTCGACTCACGCCGTCCGTTATCTCGCGACACGAGTCCCCAACTTTTAACGAGAAAAACCGAGTCTTCTTAAAAAAGAAGGAATTCTTCTTCGCCAAAATGAAGTAGGGGTTTGCAGAAGTGCGTCTGGCTGAACCACAATGCGCGCCGAGACGGCGAGACGGCCGAGACCCGCATCATCGTGGCGCCGCGGGAGCGTGCTAGACGGCGCGAACAGCGAACGGGGCGCCTTATCTGGGACGGGATGCGACGCGACGCGTTCACAGAAGAGGTTGATTAATTGTCGTCGGAGCGCGCGGAATGCCTTTTGGTCCTGGCCTCCGCTTTTCGAGCCCACGGCGCGCCGGAGAGGCGCGGCAACGGACAAGACAATAAGCTCATAACGGGAATTTTATGAAAACACACACAAAAAAGGGGAGTCCGAAAAAAGGAAATTAACAACTCGGGCTTTAAGCCGCGCCGCCATGATTGCAAGGTCCACATGCGACTGAGCGAGATAGCGAGCATGTGCAATGGACTCGACGCGGGGGCGAAGTGCGGAGCGAGTCGCACCACGCGGCGCGGCGAAAGGGCGCGTCCTCTTTAAAACGGCGTCCTCGCTGCAAAAAAAAAAAAACGTAATTACCTCGCCAAGCTGCTTGGGCCCAAATTACGCTGCATGGATGGTGCGGCAAAACAACGCGGGAAGAGGGGCGAATCCCGTCGAATGCTGGGCGCTGTGTAGCGACTTGTCAAGAGGGGGAGGGGGTTGACTTCGGTTGACTTACTTTCAGGCCGAGGCCGGCGAGGCCGCCGCCGAGGGGTAAGCGAGGAACGACGGCGGCCCGGACTGCCCCCACACGTTGACGGCCGCCACGCGGTACTCCCCCCGCGTCAGCTCGAGACCTGGGGCGGATCCTGGAGGGACGGCGCCGGGCTCCGGCGCGTAGTGGAAGGCCGGGAAGAGCATCCAGGGCTGGCCGACGGCGGCCGAGGCCGGGCTGATGACCCTGAAGGGCGCGGCCGGGCTCGGACGGAAGCCCACCTCGTACGCGGTGACGTGCCTGACGAGCAGGGGAAGGGCCGGGAACGGTGAACAATGCGCCGAGCCTCAGACGAGGGAGAGGCGGCCGAGCAGCAGCGGGCAGGCGGCGCCACCAGAACCCACCTGCTTTGTGCGCCGTCAGCGCCGCCAGCGCCGCCAGCGCCGACATCGGACCACACCAGCAGCACCTCGTTGTAGGTGACGTTCCTGGCGCGCAGGCCGCTCACCTGTGCGGGGCGGAAGCATCATTAATAAACCGGACAAACGAAAATAGCTGGGGCGTCGCAATCATTCCGGGAAAGCAGACTGCGTACATCACGCACTTTTCGAGGTGGTTTGGCGGGTGGTGTGAATATCTGCACCATGCTGTTGGTTGCGAGGGGGACGGTGAACTCGAGGGTCACGTCGGCGCTGCCGTTGCCCACGCGGAACTCGCGGGCCTGCTCCAGCCGGGGGACCTGCGACACGAGAGAGCCGCCCGAAAGGTAGGCAAAAGGCAAAGCTTTACCCCTGTACGTAGGCAAAAATCTCATTCAACGAACGTTAATGAAAGCAGATGATCCGTCGCGTTTCACAACTGCTGTGATAGCCGAGAGGTTAGAGACGTGGGATCGAGTTACCGCAGGCGGGCGTTCGAATACCAGCGTCACATACATTTTTTCGACTTACTATCCTAAGGGTGGGGCCATGAGAGCGGAGCCGTGTGCAACAGGCCCACATGCCGGAGGTTCGACTCCTAACAAATATTTCCATTTAATTTTACTGCCTCACCCAGTGCGGTTGAAACACGTAAACGTGAGCCCACTCCGAGCATGGGACGTGGTGGTCCAGGGAGTAGAGGCGTCGGTTCTGAGTGCTAGGGTCGGCGGTTCGACTCCCCCAACTTCTTGCGAAATTTTGACCGGGTCGGTCGAGTTCTGTTGCGTCAAGAACCCACCTCACGCCGGTCCCCTCACCATGGGCCGTGGTGGCCGAGAGCCTAAAGTCGTGTGATCCCGGTGGCGGGGTCCGGGGATCGAATCCCATCATTTCATTACATTTTTCGACCGCCCTCCTCCCAGTGCAACTCAAACCCGTCGTCCAACACGCTGCCAGACGTACAAGCGTGATAGCGTAGTGGTCAGAGTCACATTCACCTGGCCACTCCGCTGTGGGTGTCTAAAAAGCAATCCGCTTCGGCGGGTTGGCCTCGGCACTGGAGCGATGGAGTATTTGATCCATCAATCCAGACCATCCGGTGTGTGGTTGCGGGTGGTGCCTCCTTGACTCGTCGGGGAGGCGATGATAAGTCCTTTGAAGCTGGCCTAAAACGCTGTATGTTCGGTACGGGAGCGCCGGACAGTGGGGGTACCATGGGGTACACAACCAACCCTACGAAAACAAGAAGCTCCCACCAAACCTCTTCTCTGTCTGAGTCTCTCTCTGTCTCTCTGTCGTCTCACTCTACGTCCCGCCCCTCAAAGAGCTTCGTACTGGGTGCTCTCACCCAGCTGCCTGAGCTTTGGGGTCCTACTGGGTCCCCCGGCGAACGCTTGGGTCGCTGACGGGATTAACCCCAGGTACCTGATAGCACCGGTTCCCATCCCGAACACCGAAGTAAAGCAGGAGGCCTCCCCATTAAGACTGGGGAGGGGGTGTAGAGTTCAATTTTTTTTCTTTTCCCTTTCAAATTTCTCAGTCAATACTCGTTCGGTTTCCTTGTACGGGGTAGTATGCGGGCTCATTCCAAAGATAGTAATTAAAATTGTGTATGAAACAAAATATATAGACCCGAGCGAGGTGGCCGGTGTTGGTACTTTGGTACTAGCCGTGCCGAGAGCTGGCCCGAGTACCCGGGGCCGGGCCGAATCGGGAGGCATTGTTGCGCGATATTCCGCGCCGTGGCAGGCGGGGAGCGATTGTAAATGTTGCGCGCAGGCCGTGGCAGGCCGTCGCGAGCGAGGAGGGGGTGCCATTGTTTAGGCCCGGTGCCGCTGGCGCTGTACCGTGGAGGGATTGTCGAATTCCGCGCAGGCTGCGCCTCATTGCCAGCCAGCCAGCCACACGCACCAGCCCGCCCCGGCAGCCAGCCCCTATTATATTGTTTAGGATACGCGCTTCGTTTCTGGACTCGAGAGTAAAAGCACGCTGACACCTTCATGTGTATAGTAGTTTTAAGTATGTTTCAAGTGTGAAGGTATCATCTGCTAAAAAGCAACACACTGTCCCTGAAAGTGCACAAAGTGCTGCTTTGTCCCTCCCTCGGGCCAGTTTGGATCCGCCCTTGCTTTGGCTCAGCGTGTCGAGGCAGCGGCGGCGGGACACACGGGACAGGACACTTGACAGGACACAGGGCCAGCCGGCCGGCCCGCGCTAAATCGGGCTGGGCGGATGAGCTGGTCCGGGAGCGGCTAATGAGTGTCAAGCCCTTTTTGCCACGTGTATGAAGGGGAAGCCTACCTCGGCCGCGCGCATGTCGCGTCGCAGGGACGCCGGCGGCCGCTGGGGCGCCCCCGCCGCCAACCACAGGTCCGCGGGGCTCGTCCGCAGCGCCCACACGCGCGCCAGGACAACATCGCCCGTGCCTGGGCCTGGGCGGAACGAGGAACACGGGGGGCAGAAAGAAATCCGGCTTGATTATTGTTGACTTAGCGCGCTGTGTGGTTTGCTACTCCATGTCTACCTCACCAAGCGGCAGGTCCGCGACGTGCACGGTGAAGGCGGCCGCGGGGGCCTGGCCGTCGGCGCGCTGCGTCTCGTTGCTGAAGGCGACCAGCAGGCTGGCCACCGCGCCCTCGCCCTCCACGTCGGCCGACGAGGCCGACAAGGCCGCCAGCACGCTGAGACGGAGGCCGGCCTCGACGGGGGGCTGCAGAGCGGCGCCAATTTCAACTTGTTGCTAACGGCGCGAAAATGATCGGAATTTCAAATTTTCTGCCGCGCTATACGCGCTATACCTGGATGTCGGTCCGCACGGGGAGCTGGCTGCCCTCCATGAAGGCGAGCAGGGCCATGGCCGTCATGGCGGGCTTCCGGAACATGTGGAACGCGGGGGGCGCGCCCCTGGAACCCCTCGACTCGGACGCGGGGAGGTGGAAGCTGGCCGGACGGACAGAATTGTAATGACGTGATTAAATCAATGGCATGATGGCGGGGCTGGCAGGGCTGGCAGGCAGGCAGGCAGGCAGGCAGGCAGGCAGGCAGGCAGGCAGGCAGGCAGGCGGGGCTGGCAGGCAGGGCGGCCGCGGCCCGTCGCAATGAAAGGCTTGTCGGGCGGCCAGCGGGCGCGGCAAGGCGCGGCGCAGGCCGGACCGGGATTGGGCATGAATATTGATTGACGCACCTGGCCAGGAGGGTGCGCTGCGTGAAGTGGCTGGCCGTCGTTTCCAGGAAGCCGTTGTCGTTGCTCAGCAGCTCCAGCGGCGGCAGGCGCGGCAGGCAGTCAGCGTGGTGCGCGACGACGTCCACGTGCAGGACGCCGTCCCTGGATCGCGGACCCGGGCCCGGGCACCTTGGATGGCAGCCGTGGGCACCGCACCCCTGGTGGCGACGCCACTGGTTCTGGAGGTCCACCACGGCGTGGATGATCATGTTGGCGTAGCGGAGGTCGCCCCGCCACCCCCGCAGCCGCCACCACCCCGTCAGCGGGTCTGCCTCGCTGGAGGCAAACAGTTCCAACAGTCAGGCCTTCTGCTACGCGGCCCCCGGCGGCCCCGTGACGCAGGGCAGACGGCAGCCACTCACTCGTTGGCGAAGGGCAGGCGCTGCAGGTGGGGGAAGCGGCGCAGGATCTGGCCCAGGAGCGTCATGGTCCCGTTGGCGACGCCCTCAGAGGAGCCGTTGCCCTTCCGGTGGAACGAGATGAAGTCCAGGCCGCAGCTGAGGAGAGAGAAGAGGAACGGAGTTTCAGAAGTAGTAAGTCGATTGGACGCGGGAAACGTCGGTTAACTGAAGCCACCTCTGGTTGCGGGCGGTGAGGCGATCGCAGTGATCCAGGACGTGCCAGCAGATGGGGTGCTTCCGGGGGCTCTTGAAGGTCCCCGCGGGGCCCCCGAGGCGCAGGGAGACGTTGAGGCGCTTCTCCGCGTCCCGCAGGCCCTGCACTGTGGCGTTGAAGTACGCCATATAACCTGCACGACGAGCGGGTACTAGCAGTGGCGGACAGTCTTAATGCAACGTAGTCAAAGTGGGTCAAAGCCACCGCATTTTGTTTTGCACGCAGGCATACCGTCCACGGTCCAGTTGAAGGTGTCGTACTGGCGCAGGTCGGGCTCGTTCCAGGTCTCGAAGCGCCACGTCTTGATGACGTCACTCCCGTAGCGGTCTGGTTTAATTAAGATGGAAACTGTCACAGATCTGCTCAAAGCGTGATTTATGCGGGCCACGACGGCAAGCGACGGCAAGCCAGGCAGCGGCCTCCCTTCCCTACCTCCCAAATGGGCGACGGTGGATCCGACGAGGCACCGCCACAAGTCAGCCTGGGCCGTGATGTTAGTGATGAGCGGTCGAGGCTGCGGTGGACGTCGACGAGGGTCCACGGACCGGCCGAGAGCGCCCTCCACGGCCTCGCCCACGGCCTCCACCGCCGTCACGCAGCCCATGGATTCGACGGCCTCGGCGATGGCTTCCACCACGGCTTTGTCGGCGTCATCCACCGCGACGCCGCGCACGGCCTCCTCCACTGCGTCGACCACGGCGTCGGCCATCATGGCGTCGAGAGGGTCCTCACCTGCCGCACCACTGCCTCCGCCGCCGCCGCCGCCGCCCCCAGCCCCCCCAGCAGCCCCAGCACCGCCGCTACCGCCACTGGTACCGGGCGCTGGAGGCGCTGGAGGCGCTGCGGCCGCGGGCACAATGGCGGGCACCGGGGCGAAGGGGCGGCCGCGGCCCTCCACGGTGGGCACGCCCATGATCTCGAAGACCGGTCGCAGTCCGTTGCGCTCCAGCGATCCCAGGAACCGATCCAGCCGAGTAAAGTCCCAGCGCCACCCCCCGCTGTGTCCACAGCCTCGGCCTTGGTCCTCGGCGCGGCGGGAGCGGCGGGAAAGCCTTCAGAAAACAAACGGGACAGCGCAAGTAAGTGACGGCGCGGCGGGGGCGGGGGATGCCCCCTCAGGGATTCACCCCGTGCGAGGCGGGGGTGGGGGAGAGGGGAGAGGGGGGGGGAATCCGCCGTTGGAACGCGGCCGCCGGATCTGACGGCTTACAAATCGTGTGCACGACCAAGCGTCGCTGAAGCGCTTCCTCGGCCAACCCCCAAGGGACTCGCACTTTCCGAGACAGATTGTAAACGAAAACGAAACACGCGTGCCCTGGTCCTGCTCCTGCTCTTACCCGGGCTTGGCGCGCACCAACTGCAGCAGCCAGTGCGCGCGGACCTGGCGGACGGCGGCGCGCGGCATCGCCCCGATGTAAGCCAGGTTCCACTCCATCTCCTCGGACAGCAGATACGTCTCCGCGGCCGCGGCGCTCGGCGCGCTGGAACAAGAACGAGGTCCAATCCGACAGCTCGTGATGGACCCCCTGGTCGTGCCGCCGTGCCGGCCTGCCGCAGCCGGCCTGCCAGTCGGGGCCTCGGGGGCCTCAGGACGCCGGCAATAAGCCGGTCTGAAAAAAGCAGCAGCAGCAACAACAACACGGGCGAAACAAACGCGGACAAACGACAACACGGGGGCGGGCCGGCGGGCCGGTGGGACGGGACGCCCAAGACAAATGCGGGGTCGTTTCGTCCCCTTCGCCGCTTCGCACTTCCGTACCTGAAGCCGGTGCTGGACCAGAAGGCGGGCAGGGCGGGCCGGGGCCGCGAGGCCGCGTCCACGTGCAAGGCCACGCGGTACAGGCGCTGCGCGCGCTGCGTCGGGGAGGGCGCGGAGAGCGGCGCCACCAGCAGCAACAGCGCGCCGACCCACGCGACCGAGGCGACCACGGCCAGCATGGCGGTCTCGGCGTAATTTTACCCGCACAGCCCTGCAGGCGCCATGAATGGGGAGCAAATGCAATTTCGTAAACCAAACTCGCGCCGCGGCTGCGAGGCGGCGAGACGGGGAGCAGTGAGTGCGCGGCTCGGAGGCGAGTACTGGGGCGTCACGGACGCCGGCCGTCAGCAGGCCGGGCATGCGGCAGCGCGGCACGTCGCCCGAACACTTGACTTATTTCGGGTTCGGGTCGCCGGGTCGCCGGGCGGAGGGGCCCAAACAGCAGCCTGGACCGGCGCCCCGCCCTGCCCCTGCCCCTGCCCCGCTCCGCACCACACTCTGGCTGCACCGAGGTGGGCTGGGCCCCGCCGCTTAGGACTCGGGCTGGAGATGGCACTCGGACAACACGCACAGAGCCAGGGCCGCGGCGGCGGCGAGGAGCGCGAGGAGCAAGCCGGGCGTGCTGCGGGCTGCGGGCCCTTATCCCCCGGCAAAGGCAAAGAGGCACTCGCTGGGGAAGGAGCGGATGCTGCAGTGCGCTGCACGGCGCAAGCAGCGCAAGTGGACGTTGGCGCGACAGGGCCACAAACAGGCGACTTTGTGTTCGCGCAACGCCGTTTCCTCCACCAAACAAGTCGGCCACTTTCCGCGCGGACACCTGTCTCGGCCACCCCACCGGGCCAACCCCCCGGCCACTCCACGTGCCTCAGCGCCTCCCCCCACGCGATCCTCCCACTCCGACATCTCCGGGGCGACACAAAAACGCCCCGACCAAGTCGAATCAAAGTTATATTGAGCAAATCAAGCGGGTCCATCAGACAGCGGGCGACGCGATATGGTTCTGGTGTCTCCGGGCGGGGAGGGCCGAGCTAGGGGCGAGGACGGGCCATCCCGGTAACCCGATCGCCGCCCCTGTCTGCGCGCCCCGACCGCTATGCGAGGAGGCGTGGGGGAGATCGCTTGGAAGTAACGGCGGCGATCACGATTACGCGAGGCGACACCGTCAGGACGCCGCCAGGACACTGTTAGGACGCCGTCAGGACACCGTCTGGACGCCGACAGGACGCCGTCAGGATATCGCCAGGACACCACCAGAAGGACACTGTCAGGACGCCGTCAGGACTACGTCAGGATACCTCCAGAACGCCGCCAGGACACCGCTCTTCTCCCCACCCCCTCTGCAGCGCTTCTCCGCCCTCCAACTTTCGCCGGCAGCACGGGATTCCATTACGGAGCCCGACCGCTGGCAGGCCGATTCCGAACAGTCTCTGTCTCTCTCGCACCCGTGCGGCACGCCCAGGCACGCCCCACGAGTGCGAGAGGGACAGAGCGGCAGAGTGTTCGTAATCGCCCTGCAGGGCCTCGGCCAGGGTATTCCGCGGGGGGACGGGACGGGTGGCGGCGAGCTGGGGGAGGACGAGGGACGGCCAGACAGCTTCCTTGATTTTCTCCCGAATGCGCCTCCTGGGCCCTGCAAGGTCCTGCCTCCTGCAAGGTCCTGCCTCCTGCAAGGGCCGGTCAGGGTTGCGGAGTCCCGCTGCCCCGCTGCCCCGCTGCCCCAGAGCCGCTTTCCTCACCCCTTTCCCTCGGGCTACTTGCTGCTTGTGCACTGCGGACTTCGGCAGCGCTTGCCTGCGAAAAGAAGCCCGCTGCTGATTAGGTCGCGTAACGACGTTCTAATGACATTTTTGCTGTTTCGTTCGCCTTGTCGCCTTGTCACGTCTGCCCGCCCGCTCCCCCCTTTTCCGACGCTGCGCTGCTTTGACAATCATAAAATACCATTATTGTTCCTCTTTTGTGTTGGCTTCGTGTTGTTTCTTGCCTCGCTGTTTAGCGCTGCGTCCCGTCGACGTTTCGCCAGCGTGCCAAACTGCTGAGCCGCACTCGCCTGGGGAAAGTGTTAAAAATGTTTGTTCACAATTCAAATTACGAAGCCCACGCCCACGGCGCCGCATATGCCTAGGATGGTGGCACGTGGTTGTTGTTGTTGCTGACGATGTTGTTGATGATGTTGTTGCTGATTCTGTTCGTGCCGCTAGCGCCACCCCGCCGTCCGCTCCCCATTCAGCCACAACACAATCTGCACTTCCGGTAGTGGTGCTCAAACGGTGTGTGTGTGTGTGTGTACATTTCACCCCGCTGCTGCCAAGGGCTGCCAAGGGCCAAGAGGAAGTAGTTGTGAATGGAAGGGGGCGCGGCGAGCGCGAACGCGTTGGGCGTGGGGACGTAGGGGCGGCAGGGGCGGGGTGGGGAGGAGGGCGGGGGAGGGGAGGGGGGAGTGAGTCGACACCAGACGTGAGAAACTCTCGTCCACGCTATCTTTCTGCCGCGTGCCGTACGTTTCGGTCGCGGTATTTTGTCAACACGGCGAGGCGGGGCGGGGCGGGGCGCGGTGGAACAAGGCGGGGCGGGGCGGGGCGGGGCGAGGCGGAGGGAGGTGGGGTGGGGCAGGGCGGTGGGGTTGCCGTGTGTGGCGTGCCCGTGGACGCCTTTGTCCGTCTCCGTCGAGGCGCCCCCCGCACCTGTGCGAGCGACAGAGACAGAGTCGACGGCGCCGTCCAGACGCCCTCCGCCCGCCCCGCCTCGGCCCGCCTCGCCCTGGCCGCGGGTGGTCCGGGCGGTCCAGGGCTCCCACACTGTGTGCGGCAGTGCGCGGCCCCGCCAACGCCGCGACTTGACTCGACGCGGCCACGACAAGGGGCTTCTTGGAGGCGTGCGTCGCCGAGGCCGGGGAGGAGCCTATCGAACGGGCAGCCCTATTCGCGCGACGCGGGGCGCGGCGGGGCGCGGCGGGGCGTGGCGGCGGGCCCGGCCCGGACTCGAACCACAATCGCATACCTGAACAGACCGCCGCCATCCGCCGAGACGCGCGAACCGTGTCGCGACCCGCCGTCCTGCCGCGCCGCGTGCCAGGCGTGTGCCTCCACCGGGACGCGAACCCGCGACCTGCTGCACCGCTACTCCACAGGTAAGGCGACTTGACACGCTCGTCCATTTTTCACCGGCTTCTTTCCAAGGGATTCCCGATCGAGTCACGGCGCACTCTGGTGCACACAGGAGTAGTTCATAAGCGCAGGTGATTACGCAGCATACAATACCCGTTACTGCCACACTTTCAATAAGGCTGGAGCCGACAATGAAAGCCGCATCGTGCTAAAAATAGAGTGATTTTTGCTCTTTTAAAACGTGAGTCACTGGGTACGGGGCTGTGTGTACACACACATGAGCACACCAGTTATCCACCCCGTTCACCCCTCGTTCCCGATTGCGCAAGTCTGTTATGCAGCCTCTACGGGCAGTGGGGTAGAGTGCTCCCGACCGAGTGGCGGGCGGCTGGACTGGCTGGACTAGGGGACGCCTTGCCTTTGCCTTGCTGGTAGGGGGAAGGGGCGGGCAGCCCGGAAGTCTCCGGCACCGCAAGCCGAGCCGGCCATCGGCCCGGCCCGACCCTATTTTTCAAAGACGGAAGCGAAATTATGGAATAACGGTTGTGCCCGAGGGGCCCGTCATGCTTTGTGGACGTTTTTTTTCTACCCCCTCGCCGGGGCGGGGCCCTGCTGCCCTCGGCTGCCCTGCTCCGCGGAGCCGGGACACCGCAGTGCCCGTCTCGGCTCCATTAAAAGCGGTCGGCGCTGGCAGGACTCGAACCCGGGACACTTTGCTGACGCCGCGCTGTCGGCGGCAGTGTCGGCACGCCGAGGCGAGGCGAGGCTGCCTGGCTGCAGAGCGCGTCGTGGTCAAATTCATTTCCGCTGTGCTGGCGTTTGGCCTGGGTCAGCAGCAGCAGCGGCCCAGCGGATCGACCCCAGGCTGCCTCAGGCTGCCCCGGGCTCAGCGCCGTGATGCTGGTCTCTGGCTCGCCCCGGCTGACGTCCCGCAGTCGCGCGCCGCCAGCAGTGCCAGCATCCCGGTCGCGACCGCAGTCGTCGCCGACGCCGTCGTTCCGTCGTCAAACCGGCGCAGGCGTGCACCAAGGAATTGCATTTAGGGGGCTGGGAGCTCACGTGACATGACTCATGTCGCACGTTTTGAGGGATGTCATGACCGTCGTGGCCCCCCCCCCCTTCCCCCCTTTCTGGTTACGCGGCTTGGGTAGGCGGTGTCCGCGCCACACCTGTGCTGTTGTGTTGCTGCCGCCTCGGTTAAGTCGACAACAATGACAAGGTCGCGCCTTAATGAAATACCCATTATGCATCAAGTGGCACAGTCATTGTGCGGACGACCCCCCCCCCCCCCCCCCCCAAACGTCCTGCCACGCCCCGCCCTAACCTGTCGCGGTGCGGATATCTCGTTAAAACTTGAGACCCAGTTTGCTTAAGCGCCCCCCGCTGCGATTTAAGTTTGCACCTGAAAGAACCACAGCGGGGCACCCCTCGCCCCGCACGTGCCGCATCCTAGTTTTCGATCCAGCGGCCCCTGGACGCAAGGACGCACTTCGGCGGACACCCCGCGCCCGAGGGACTTTGCCGCGTGCGTTTATGCTTACGCGGCACGGCCCGCACAGCCAGCACGGGGAGTATCGACAGGCGAAACTTAACGACGCGGTTCCCACTTGCCAGTAGTGTCGCCGCGACCGCCACCGCCGCCGGGGCGGGCCGGCCCGAGGCGATGCTTTGGGGACCATTATTGGATGCCGCCGAGGGCGGTTAAAGGAATTGGAGGGTGGCGACAGGGGAGAAAGGAAAGGGGAGGTGGGGGGGAAGCGATGCCGAGGCGACGAACAAAGCGGACAGATTGCTATTCAAAACTCAATATGGCGTCACCCCGCGCGCCAAGGGCAAGGCCATCGCCAGACCACAACAACCACCCTCCGTTCCTTCAGTTCTTGCCCGCTTATCTCTGCGCCCTCAAGCCGTTCCGTTTCTCCGCAGATCCACGCCGGGCGGTGCTAGGCGGCGCCATGGCGCAGGCCGCGGCCACCACCTCGCCGGACCTGGGCCACCGCGACGGCAACGACGGCCTGGACAGCGTGGACGGCGGCGACCAGGAGGAGTACCTGTTCGACCGCGCCGACGTGCGCGCCATCTTCATCTGCCTGTACACGGTCGTGTTCGTCATCTGCTTCCTCGGCAACCTGCTCGTCATCGTGGTGGTCTCCGTGTCGCGGCGGATGCGCTCCCGCACGCACCTGTTCCTGGTGAACCTCGCCGCCGCCGACCTGTGCGTCGGCATCTTCTGCGTGTACCAGAACCTGTCCATCTACCTGGTGCAGAGGTGAGCCGAGGAGCCGAGCTGCGGTGTGGCCTAGTGTAGTGGCCTTTGCACGGACGGCCTGTCCACGCTGTGCAACTGTGGTCCGGTCTCTCAAGTTTAGAGGTTCACGAAGCGGTCCCGAAATGTCATACGATCAGTCGTGGTCTAGCCCGTAATGGTAATGGACGCCTACAGGGTAGGCAACCCAGGCGGCAGCGGTGCTCGACGGGACGGCCCGCCTCACGGCGCCGTGCTACGCCGTGCTACGCCGAGCTGCGCTGCCCCGCTCGCTGGCTGGCGGCGCCTCGCGGGGTCAGTGGGTCAGGGCGGACCGACCTCCAGGGTAGGCAGGGGCAGGAAGAGCAGGCAACCCCTCCGACGGCCCTGCCGCGACGCGTCAGACGCTGCGCCCCATTTAGGCACCCCGCCAGACAGGGTAATTGGGACAGCACCCTCTTGACTTGTTCTGTCTGTAAGGGAGGGAAGCCTCTGGCGGGCCGCCAGGGCGCCGCCACAGGGCCACCAGAAGGCTGCCAGAAGGCTGCCAGAAGGCTACCAGCCGTGCCAGTAGACTGATTCCGCACAGTGCGGCCGTCGGTCTCTCTCTCTCGCACCGGTACGGAGCGCCCATGAGAGAGAGAGAGAGAGACCTCCGACTCGGAATCAGTCTCCAGGGCGGATGCGCCGCTCCTTCTTGGCGTATCAGGTGCGGCGGCTTGTTACGACGGTTACGTTGTTACCGAGACGGTGCCCTTTATGTTCGCCGGGCGGATCCCGTGGAGCGGCCGCTGCACCGCGCCGCCGTGCCCGCCGGCGACACTGAGAAATGACAAAGGGCCGATCTTGTCCTTGTGAAGGAAGACGCTGCCGCGGGGGCCGGGGTGGGCCGGGGCGGGGAGGGACGCCGAAGCATACAAGTTGCAGCTTCTTAAGGATCGCTCTACAGCATCGTTTGCTTCGTTGGTGCGGTCGTGGAGAGACACGTAGTGACTCGGTCGGGCTTGCCGGGCTTGCTTGCCTACCCATGCCGTCCCGGTGCCGGATGAGTTGTCTGACTGCAAGGCAGGGCTGACTGCACACTGAACCTCGAGGACGGGGATGGGCAGCTGGCGCTAGTCCCCGACCCACAGTTCCCTCAGTGTTGACAATGGGGCAGGAAAATCAACACCCTCGGACAGTGTAGAATGCGTTTATTTCCAGACGCAGCAGAGCAGAGAACTGAAAGCCCAGCCGGCGTTGTCCTGTTGTTGCAGCTGGGTGCTGGGCGACGTGGTCTGCAAGCTGTACCACCTGGTGCACAACCTGAGCTACACGGCGTCCATCTTCGTGCTGGTGCTGCTGGCCGTGGAGCGCTACCTGGCCGTGCTGCACCCCATCAAGTGCCGCACCATCCTGCGGCCCGCGCGCCTCAAGGCGGCCGTGGCCTGCGTCTGGCTGGCGGCCGCGGGGCTCAGCGCGTCCAGGCTCTTCTGGGCGCAGACCGTCACCGTCGACCTGCCGGGGCTGTTCCAGGTAACCTACCAAACATTTTACCCCCACAGACTTGGAGAAATTCTACCACGAAGAGTAGAGACTCACGCCGAACAAGCTCCCCTCCTCCCTGGCAAAAAAAATAATCAACCTTTTAAAATTGTTGCCAAGTCTATGCCGAAAACACTTTCCGCTCTCGCCCCAAGCGCCGGCCTGGTCTACGTGTGCGACGTGTATGGCATGTCGCGTTTCACGGTTCCACGTTGCAGGAGATCATCTGCATCTCCAACCGCCACAAGTACGACCAGAAGCTGTGGGACGTGACTAGCTTCGTGCTGCTGTACCTGGTGCCGCTCGGCGTGATGGCCTTCTTGTACGCGCGCATCGCCGTGGTGCTCTGGGGCTCCGGCCGGCCCCTCGGCCTGCACCAGCAGCAGCACCAGCCCCGGGTGCGCCGCGGCGTCGTCAAGCTCACCGTCACCGTGGTGAGTAGTAGCACCTCTTGCCTACCGTCAAGCGCACAGTGCGCCAGAAGACCGATGGAGGCGGCCAAAATTTCAGACGCCTGTTGAGCTCCAGAGTCGCTGAATGGGACTCGAACCGAACGTGTGACCCCACCACTGGATAGCTCTTCGAACGAGGAATCCATTAATGGGGTCACAAGTTCGGTTCGAGTCTCATTTGGCGACTCTGGAGCTCAAAACGCGTCTGGAGTTTTGGCCGCCTCCACCGGTCCTCTGGCCCACTGTGGCGTGTCAATGGTCCTGGAGCCGCGCCTGCTCAAGCTCTGCAGCGGCTGTCCTTACCAAGTCCCCGTGTGCACACTGTGCAGGTGGGCGTGTTCGCGCTGTGCCACCTGCCGCTGCACGCGCGCCGCCTGTGGCAGCACTGGTCGCCGCTGTACCGCGGCCCGTCCACCTTCTCGGCCGTCTTCACGCCCGCCACGTTCCTGGTGGCGTACGCCAACTCGGCCGCCAACCCCATCCTGTACGCGCTGCTGTCCCGGAACTTCCGGTCGGGCGTGCGCGACGTGCTGGGCCTCATCCCGTTCCGCCTGCGCAGCCGGAGCGGCGGCGACAGCAGCGGCAGCAGCGACTCGAGCGGCAGCCGCGGCAGCAGCCCCCGGCGGCGGCGGGCCGGCCGCGCGGCGGGCGGCAGCATCCTCAGTCGCACCGTCGCCACCGGCATGACCGAGCTGCCCACCATCCGGGACCACTCGGTGGACATCACGGCCTGCCTCATGGCCAGGAACAACCCGGCCCTGGAGCAGGACGAGGAGGCGTAGCACCGCGTCGCACCGCGTCGCACTGCGTACCGGACGACGCGCCGCGGTCCAAGTTCCACCAACAGTATTTGGGAGGGGACCACCCGCATCTCGTGAAAGGCGAGGGGCCACGCTGGCTTGCTGGCAGCCTGAGCTCCTCGGTTTGCTTCCTGGCTTTTACGGTGTGGACCCCTTGATTTCCCCTACTCTGAGACTGATAAAGCCTTGCCATGTTTATTTTAATGTGATACCAAAGCCAACCTGTACATAGTATTAATAAAGTAATGTTCTTAAACGTGCCCATCTCATTGGGCGAGCCGCAAGATCAAAACACAAACATATCCTATAAGTGAGGTCGACCTTGATTTCGCCGTCGTGGGGGATCGTCGCCCCCTGTTTCAACGCTATCAAAGCTTGCCTCAAAACAAAAACTTGAGGCTGCGTATTTTGATTGTGTTATATTGAGCACTGAAGTCTGTTCAAGTACAGGACGTCGTTTATGTTATCGTTTAAAAATAAGTTACTGTGACGTCGGGTCCAAAATTCTATACACCTTAAAAGTGGCTCTGAGCCACTTATACACACATCCCGAAACAGGCTCGCGACACACAAGGCCTCGCCTCGAGGGGGTTTAAATTTGGCGGCATCTCCGCCATGCTTACGGTGGCGCGCCGCGGCGTGCGGGTAGGCGCCCCGCACGCTGCCAAAGCAGAGGAAGGGCAGGGGAGGGGCGAAAAAATGCCGCTGGGCGTAACCGCATCTCTCTTTATTCGCCCTGCAAACAAAGCGGCCCCGGCGGCACGAGGGTTACACGAGGGTCGGCCGCTCGTTCGGGCCGGGCCTCGCACGCGCCGGGGCATGGCGCGCCGCTTCGCTTGCCTACAATCATAACAAAATTAATAATTACGTGTTACAATTAACAGTGGGGATGAACAAAAAGGCCCAGCATCACTTTGTGCCCGCCTGGGCGTCCGCACTCCCAGGGCGCAGGGCGTGGAGGAGAGCCGAAGAGGCTCCGGTTCCAGGCCTCTGGGAGTGCGGCTGGGGGCTGGCCGCCACAGGTGGCCCAAAGCAATGGCTAAGGAGCAGGAAAAAATTTACAGGTCGATATATAATATCTACAAAACAATCGGACTCGCGGCCCAATTCTCTGTGGACGGTTCGTTCGTATGGGAGCGCTTAATTAGTCACACCATCCTGTACTGTACACCCTAACTATGTACATCGTTTTGGCTTACTACTTTGTGTTCCCTAAGTACATAGGACCGTCATCCTCCGTCGCACGAAACATGGTAACTTAATATCACGAGATTGCACTCTGGCGTTTGGCCGGAGCACCCTAAGACCCTTCAAGTCCGTCCGAGCCGAGCCCTCTAGGTCGGACGCAGTCGGACGGACGGGTCGACTACACTACACACAACAGGGATGAGTTATCGTGGTGCCGCTCGCTGCTCTCGCCCGTTGCCGACAGGGTCGTCCTGGGCCTTGCCTGGGCCTTGCCTGGGCTGCCCTCTGTGCGTCCTGGTCCCTGTCGGCCGCTCGCCAGCCGCTGGAGTGCGTGTTTTGCGGGCTGGCCGGGCTGGCCGGGGAGAGCCCGACCTCGGCTTCGGGCTGGGGGTCCGGGAGGGCCTCCGCGCCGCCTGCATACGCCGCAGGACTCCAGCACAACAAGTGCGCAGCGCGGCTCGCGCAACCGAGCGAAGAAAATGCTTGTTGACGGGAGGGTCAACGAGCAGCTTCACCCCGATGCCGCCACTCGTCGCGGAGGGCAGCACACTGCAGTAGACGGGCACGCCGGGCACGCCCTGTGGCGTCGACGTGACACCTTGCTGCCTCGCCTGGCCTCGCCGGACACCGCTCTTTGCTGTGACACCGAGACACGTGACAAGGCTGACTGTTTCCGAAGCGGGCGAGGCCCGGCCAGGCCCGGCCAGGCCCCCCGCGGGGGTGGCTCGGCCCCGCTAGGCGTGGTGTGGTGTGGGGCGGGCCCGTCACCCCGACATGACGAACGTGGACTAGTGAAGGCTTGACTACCGGCTGACGGCGACCCTCTTCAGACTGCCGTTGAGAATGTCAGAGGCTTGAGACACGGCGCCGGGGAGGTCGACATCAGCGGGCGGCGCCGCAGCCGCCACCTGGAGCAGAACATCATTAGGTTGATGCAAATTCAAGGGTAGAATGTCGAGTAGGATGATTGATTGAAACATGCAGAATTCAAATAAATGAATGAAGTGAACTGCGGTTTTCACCTGAGATGCCCTCTGGGGCTTGTCGCCGCTCTGGACCAGCTTGTCCAGCGCCGCGAAGTCGAAGTCGAAGGCTCCAGCCCGGTGACGGACTTGAAGCCGGCGGCGGGCCTGCCGCTGACGGAGGCCCTGGAGGACGCCCTGGAGGAGGCCCTGGAGGAGGCCTTGGCGGGGGCGGCGCCGCTGGCGGCCTCGCCGTCGGCCTGGTTGTCGGCGAGGTCGTCCAGGTCCGAGGCCGCGGCGGCGGCCTGCTGCGCCCGGTCCAGCTCGTCCTCCGTGGCGCGCTTCTTGGCCGCCGCCGCGTCCGCCTGCACGCCGAACAGCCCGCGGAACTTGGGCTTGAAGGCCTCCACGAAGCGCTGCACGCGCCGCGCCGTGTTCTGCGACAGGGGTTGACAGTGCAGCAGCTCGCTCGTATACACACAAGACCACCCGACCAGCTGACGGTGGACATCAGTGGCAAGCGGACTTGCAGCGGCAAATTTTATCGGTCGGGAGTCATTTCGACAGCATTCATAAAAATATGCGTTTGGTTTGGTGGAGTGCCCCGGGTCGGGTGGTCACGACCCGCCCCGCGCGGCTCCGGGCGTAACGACGTTACCCAGAAAGGGTACGTGGGCCGCGGGCCAGCCTGGGCCAGCCACCCACCCCGTCTACTCCCGCACCGACGGCTCCACTTATTTTCCAAAAAGTCGGGATTTGAACTCGCGGCACGCGCGCCGCCGCCGCCGGCCTGCCCTTACCAGGATGACGTCTCCGAGGATTTGCGAGATGTTGGTGACGAGCGTGAAGGAGGAGCCGAACAGCTGCTCGGGGATCTCCAGGCTGACGCGGTTCCCTTCGAAGGTGGGGATGTTGTCCGTGGTCGGGCCCTGCTGGGTCGGTGTGCGGGAAGAACACAAAGACAGTGGCGCGTTAGACAAATTTTGCAGTCGCAGTCACCTGGGTCTATGAATGACGCCGCGCCATCGAACACGGTAGCCATGAAGTATGAATTCATGAGCACACACACGCACACACACACACACACACACACACACACACACACACTTGCACAAGCATGCACGCGCGCGCAAACACACAGTGTCATGTCCGATGCAGGTCAAGATACCGACAAACTAAGATATATCCGTCCGTTCGTCCGTGTCAGGGACACGCCGTCTGCCGCCGTGTCTCGGTGAGTGTCTCGTCTGCAGCCAAGCCCGGCCGAGTAACAGAACAGATAGCGGTGGAGTGGCAAAATTATGACGCCAAGTTGTGATGTTATCGAAGCCAAGTTTTGTCGGGCAGCAGTGCCAGGCCAGAAGGAAACTGCGGCGGCGCGCGGGGCTTCGTCTCGGCTCTGGGCCGTCAGGGCGGGGCAGGGCGGGGCAAGGCGGGGCGGGCCCGCCAGCCGACATTCTCATACCGGTTACGTGGGCGCCCACTGCTGGTGGCGCCTGCTCCGCCTTCTCGGCAGCCAGCATAGGGCTGCGAGTGCTTGGGACGTACTCTCGTGGTACCCCGAGTTATGATCATTTTCGCACTGCACCATGAATGAAATCCAATTTGACACGAGGCGGGGGCCAACTTGTTGAACACTCTGTGTCCTCATTGGTTAGGAAATAGTGGCGGTGCGTGCGAGACGGAATCCCATTTTCGCGGTACAGCCCATTTACATTCGCGCCTCTGCTGCCGTTGTGGGTGGAAGTAATCACATCCTCTTTCTTTGAAAAAAAAAAAAACCGGAATAAAAGATTGAAGTGCCTGCTATTCGATGCCTACTAACAGGGTGGCGGAAAAGGACGACACGCGCCAAATGGAGTCCGCTTGAAATGAGAAGTATTGAAATTGATTTATCGAGGGGAGGGCGGGTCCGGGGAGGGGGGGGGGGGTATTATGATTACGACACGACGTTAGAGTGGTGACTCGGATGGAATAAAGGAAAGCAGTGGCACGGGGTGGGAAGGGGGGGGGGCGGGGGGAGGCTGCGTCGAGTGGTGCGAGGACACGGGAATTTGAGGGCTGAGGTCGTCCTGCTCCGTTCCCCATGGGCCGCCCTGGGCCAGGCGGCGCCAGCACGTGCGGGAGGCCACTGCAGACACCGCCGGGCCACGGCCAGGCACTACACGGCCAGGCCGCGCGCACCGCACCGCGCCGCCGACGCCCTCCCCGGAACTCCGGCAGGCATACCAACCGCACACGCATGCCGCCGCAAATTCTCTGCGGCCGCCCTGTCGGCATTATCGGCTCGGAGGAAAGTGTCTCGGGGTTGTTCAGTTGGCGTGCCTGCCGGCCTGCCCGGGGAATGCCCTAGGCCGAGCCGACAAGGCTTCAACTTCGGCCAACTGTGGGCGGAGGCGGGTAAATTGTTCTGAATGCAACTTTGCTGGGTTCCGCGGAGGGATTGGGGATTTCGGCGTGATGCCGTTCAGCGATGTGACACGCGATGCTGGCCAACCGAACTTTGTGCGTCTCGGTTTAACTTTTACGGATTGTTGGGTGCTTTCTTTTTCGACGGTATGCCATTAGGGATTGGCAGAAGGCTGACTGAAATCTCAAAAATCCACTTCGTTTACATTTTAATTATTTTTTTTTCACTTTCGATTTACAGCTTTGCTTGGTGCAAGTGTTCTCTCGAGACACCCCGTAGTCCACCGCAATTTCCTTCTTCACCTCCGCCATGATTTCGCTGCAGTTGCTGCTTAGGAAGCGGGGCGGACAAAAACTTGGCAAACTACAAAGCATCATATCATGTGGAAGCACTCGTGTTTGTTTTGGATAATGGTTTATTTCACGATACATTGCATCACACTTTACATATCACATTGTTCTACTGTACAAATTAGGAGGGTGAGAGTACAATAGAACATAGTCAAGTGCTGGCAGTCGATTTCTCGAAGGGGTGATGGTTTGGCAGGTGTGTTTTTTACAAGATGGGACTGAATTAACTAAGCCTAACGTTACACATAAGTTTGAGCATTTGAACACGCAGGCTTTGTGGGGGGAGCAGAAGCACGAGGAGGTAGAGCCGCCTTTGTAATCACAGCCGATCTTCGAGTCGAACCGCACGGGCAGTTCGACGGAAGAGTGCGCTTCGGTGACGGGAAGCGGGGGCACATCAATATGATGGGCGAGGCGCTTCGCACCGCCTGGGCAACGGGCAGCCGCGCGGCCGCCCTCACCGAGACACTATGTACAGTCTGCTTGGTGCCCGCACGCTGCCAGCACGCTGCCGGGCTGCCTCGCTGACGGTGGGCGGCGCGAGGCGGGTGGTGGTGGAGCAGCACAGGGGCGCCACCCTGCATTACCTTGGGGATTGGGGCTGGGCTGCTGGGACTACGGGTACTGCGAAAAACGGGACAGCGAGAGGTTAGGAAAGGTGGTGATGTGCAGAGTGGCCCTTTTCAATCTCGAATCGAATGGAGTGATGGAAAATCCTGGCTCGAATCAAATCACGATCGAATACAGTGCGAACAAAATTTGAAATATTCATTCCCCAAAAATGAGCAAAATGAACCCTTATTTTTACTGTTTAGGTCTAAAATGATTCAATGATTTGTTATAAGAAGCTAAATGTTGCATTTTTGTCTCGTTTTTAATCGAATTAAATGTGCTCTGATTCGATTCGGTTTCAAAGTATTTGCACATCACTTAGGAAAGGAGAGCAGGCCTACAGTGCGTGTGTGTCAGGAAGGAGAGAGCAGTGGTACAGGGCCAGGCTTGGTTCGCATCATCGGGTCCAGATTGTCAACCACAAGAGGGGTTTTGTAAAAGCTGGAAATATCGTCTGTTTCGGGCTCCAAGTTGTCAGGCCTCCATATTCATAACGCGAAATGCGGGGCGAGGCGGCCAGGCCGGGCCAGGCCCGAGGGATGGCGGTGGCGGCCCCGCGGGGAGTGTCCTTTGGGTCCTTTGGCGCCGCCGCCGGAATCCTTATTCGCACTTGCCGCGCGGCGGGCCGGGACGGCCGGGGCTCGGCGCCCTCAGCGCGCCTGCCTCGGCGACCCAGTGAAATATTTAACAACAGGAGACAGGTCGATCTCGCACCCACGCACTCTCTCACTCACACTCACGAGGACAGGACACTCACTCGCACTCACACAGTCACACGCACACTTTCGTTACCGATACTACCCTGTTTTGTTGAAGTCCGTCGTCACGTCCGTGGCCCTGTCGTCGTGGTCCGTGTCTACAGGGTCTGCGCGTTAAAGTCATATCCTACCCCGGAGGACGACGAGCTAGAGGAGGATGACGACGACGAGGAGCCGGTGCCGCCGCCGCCGAGCGACGCGCCGAACGAGCCGCCGAGGCTGGCGCCGCCGCCGAAGTCACTGGTGCCGGCGTCCGCGCCGCCGCCGCCGCCGCTGCTGCTGCCGCTGAGGCTGCCGAAGGACGGCAGGGAGGACCCCGCCGACGAGCTGAGGAAGCCGCCGAGGAGTCCCTTGATGCCGGAGCCCGCGGGCGGCGCCTGGGTGCCCGGCCCGAGCAGGGCCAGGTTCTTGGCGGCGTTGGCGCGCTCGAAGACGCCGATCAGGGCGTTCTTCGAGTCGATGACAGAGTTGATTTTCTGTCGGAAACGAGCAAGGCATGAGGGGGAGCGAGAGGGGACGGGGGCCGCACAAAGTCTTATCATGCACACACACATAGCACACATAAGCGTCTGAACAAAGTTTGCATTCATTTTGCAGATGTTTTATTCAGTTTGGGGGAAAAGTTTTTTTTTTTTTTTTGCACCAGGTCGCGACCGCGCTGCAGCCCTGCAACTGCGGCGCGCCATGCTGTAGCCTCGTTGGTCCTCGTGGAGGCCGTGGAGGCCGTCGCCGCGGCGTGGCGGGGAGCAAAGTCCAAAGTTGCCCCGGCCGCGGCGAGGCCCGGCGAGGCGGCCGGCAGATAAAGAAGGAAACAAACACGAAACACACACACAAATCCCCGCACTGCGAGCGTCCTGGTGCCTGTTCCCCGAGGTACACTGTCGGGAGGGCGCGCTCGGACGCGGCCGTCGTCGGGGCGGTGCCGCGCTGTCGTGGTGACCGCTGCGACGCCGCAACCACCCCGACGGCGGCCGCCGCTGCTGCACGACCCTGCCGGCGGCGGGCTCGGCGCGGTGCGGCTCGCGGCGGCACGGCCTAGGCACTTACCCCGAAGATGAGGTTGAGCACGGCATTCTTGACGTGGTTGCCAATCTGTACCTTGTGTTCGAGGAGAAGCCGCTTCTCGCGGTCCGTGCGCTGGCCGGGGTCAGCGCCGAACACTTCGGCGTCCAGCGCTGCCTGCAACACGGGGAAAAAGGGGATTAGGGGCGTGGCGCGACCAATGGAAGCGGGGGACGGCTGATTTCCTCCTTTCCCCTCCCCTCTCCTCTCCCCCCAAGTAAGTAAAAGCCCTGTTCGTGGAATCTCCTCAAATCTCCTGCCCCGACCACACGATAAATCCCAGGCATGCGTAAAATGCTCGATTTTCCACTGGCAACGAAATAAATAACCTGACAGCAATTCGCTTTAGCAGCGAATATAACACTACAGACGCCCTTTTTTGTTTTTGTGCGACGACAGAAAATCCTCGTGGCGAAATTCCGGTTCCGTTGGGGCGATGTCTGACTGCGGGGCGCGGAGTGCGAACTGCGGAGCGCGCGGCCAGTGCAAACTCCGCGCGAAAAGAGACGGAGCGCCGCTTTTCCGCTGTCCTTCTCTGACTTTGCTTACTCGCGCGGGGGATGGCGGGCTGCGGGGGCGAGGGGTCGCCGTCGCCGAAGCGCCGAAGCCAAGCGCAGCGAAATAAGACAAAGGAGGACGAGGGGGCATGCCGGACGGACGGTCACGTACAGCGTCATCAGTGAGAGGGCCGACGAACTCGCCCCGCTGCTGCCGCTGCTCCTTTCTTATTTTTCCCTTAAATGTTGTATCATAGCGGGGAGGGGCGGCGGGGCGGGGCGAGGCGGGGCGGGTCGAAGGTGCCGTGGGGGGCGTGGCGGGGGTGGCTTCCCTCATGGGCTTCCTGAGAAGGAACTACTTGCAAAGGAGGTGCTTGTCGGCAGCGGGGGGGGGGGGGGCAGGGCAGGGGCAGGGCAGAGCCGACGCAGCGTGGCTGGGGAGGGGGGGGGGATAAAGGGTGTGAGCCCTTGGCGCAGGGGTTGCCGACCGCCAAAGGGCCACCAGGACCAGCAAAGTCATCACCGACGCCCTCCTCCCAGGGATGGCGAAAAGTGGCCGCCTCAAAGTCCCACTTTTCGCCGAGAGCGGCCGAGCTACCCCTCAAAGACGGTGCGTATTGCGAGCCCCCGCCCCGCCCCGCCCCGCCCCTCCCCTCGCAAAACGGTCGCTGGCAAAAAAGACAAGCGCTGGTGCGGCGTAGTTTTTTTATGATTTTAAAACGTCTGGTAAAGTGCGGCAAACTTTTCCCGACCTGCGTCCGAGACACCCCGAGGAACCTGTTGAGCCGGCAACGCCCTTGGCTACGCCGCTGCCTGCCTGCCGCACCGCCGACGTCGTCGGGGGACACAAAAAAAACAGAAAAAACAAACAACGCGAATAAGGCCTCTCGCGGCCAATAAGGGAGCCAAATTAAAAATCTGCCAGTGGCAGCCGAGACGCGGCGACGCGGCGTGTCAGTTCGTCACGTCGCGGCCCGTCCCGTCGAGTGTGCCACGCCACTGTTTTGGGGCGTCCCCGGGCGTCCCGTACGAACCGGGCGGTACATGATCGGCCTGCGGCACGCCGGCGACCTTGGCCTGCCTTGGCCCGACGGCATGGCCCGGCCGACCTGGGCCGACCCTGCATCCACGGCCCGCACGGCCGGCCGGCCGCCCACGCCGCCCTGGCTTCACGCCACGCCGCCTGGCCGCCCCCAAGGGTTGCCGCCCCCAAGGGTTGCCGCCCCCGAGGGTTGCCGCCCCGACGCCGTGCAGGCCGAGGCCCCGGACCGAGGCACTGGGGGCGGCAGGACGGCAGGGCGGCATTGTTGGCGGTACCGGGACGGCCGTTTCCCCGGGGTTGCGGGGAGGAGGGGAGGGATGAGGGGTCGAGGGTTGCCCCGATGGAGTAGCGGTTCCATTGTCCGAGAGGCACGAGAGGCACCATTCCGTTCGATTACCGCCACCACGGCCCTCTCCTATTCCGCTCTGTTATGGCCCTTCTATTTATTTTTTTCCAGAATAAATACCTCTGCCGGAGCCGCGGCGAGCCCCTCTGCGTCGGCAGCGTCTCTGACGGGCGAGGCCGCTACACTGGCCACGGCCAGCACCACCAACAACGGGACCCTCATGGTGGCGGCGGTGACTTGACCTGAAAAAAGCGAGAGAAAAGAGGAATTAATTAAAGCGCTCGCACAGCATCCACAAAGCGTGCCTTTTTTTATTTTTTTTTTAGAAAAAAGTGGAAAAATGCTTGTTGGCGTCGAAACATTAATCCGAGCCAGTCAACGGCCCACTACACCGCAGACGTCAAAATCATCAACAACAACAACAAACAACAGCAGCAGCGGGCAACCGGTCCAACTGCATGTCATGACGCAATATCGCCGGACTAAGCTGGTCGGCTCCACCTGCTACATGCACGCACACAAACAAGCACACACAAGCGTACACACAAACACACACATTCACACACACACACTGGCAAACAAATCCCATCGGAGGGCTGTCAGAAAGTGCAACAAACTCGGCGGCAGCGGTTCAACTATTCCTGACAAACGGAAGATTCCTCGGCTCGCGAGGTGGTGTCTTCTCCGGGCAGCGAGGCTGGCAGGTGACATGTCCCGTCCCACCTTGTTTTCGTGGCCTCCGAGAAGTGCGTCGCTGCCGACGCCAGAGCCTCTTTCGTGAATTCATTCATTCATTCATTCATTCATTCATTCATTCATTCATTCATTCATTCATTCATTCATTCATTCATTCATTCATTCATTCATTCATTCATTCATTCAGTCATTCATTCATTCATTCATTCATTCATTCATTCATTCATTCATTCATTCATTCATTCATTCATTCATTCATTCATTCATTCATTCATTCATCAGTCAGTCAGTCAGTCAGTCAGTCATTGCCCGCCCTTTTGGCAATTTCCGCCCGATGAGGTTGGTTCGGCCCGTTCGGCCCCAAGGCGGTACGTGCCCGGAGTGCATGCGAAAGTGAAGCCCCGGCATTTAGCAGCGGGGCGGAGCGGCGGAGCGGTGCCCAGACTCAGCGTTCCCTTCGGTTGCCTTCGGTTCCCCTCGGTTCCCTTCGGTTCCCTGCGCCCCCGCCCCGCGGCAGTTCGATGCCGAACAGTGCTGTGGCTCTGTCTCTCTCGCGCTCACGCGGGGCGTCGTCACGCGTTCCCGTTCGGATTCCCCGCCTAATGCAGCATTGCAAAACTGGGCCGAAAACGCACAGCAGCAGTGCGGCGGGGCGGCGGTGATCGCGACATCCGAAACGAGCGGGGAGGCGAGCTAAGCGGGCTGGGCTGCCCACTGGGCAGTCATCAGGCAGAATTAGCCTCAGCCGCAGCACCGCGCAGCACCGAGTGGACGCAGCGGCCGAAGTGGCTGGCCGAAGTGGGGCCATGCTCATCGGACGTATCTGATTACGCGGCCTTGGGGCGGGGTGCGGCGGTTTGGGGTGCGGCGGGGCGGGTCGCGCTTTCGGAGGTGGCCCGCCGCGATGGCTGGCCTTGCCCGCCGATGACGCCGTGGGCACGTCCATCAGTATTTCGGAAAGGGACCCGGGGGTGGGGGAGGGGGCCACAATCACAGAAACTCGGGCGGCATCATTATGAGGGAGGGGTTCCGTTCCGTCCTGGCGGACCGGTCACTTGTAATCCCCCCCCTCCTCCCCGTCGACGCGCCGCGACGCGCAGGGTGTGGTGGCGACAGGGGGCGTTCGACGTGGCGGAATACATTTTTCACCAATTACTGACAGGCCGGCCGGTTCGCCTGGCCGCGCTCGCGTCTTCCATCGCTTCCATCGCTTCGCCGCTTCGCCGCCCCGAACCCGTTCCTATGACGCATGGCCATGCCACGGCCCTCGAGGTGCATCCCGGTGACGCTCTTCTTTGTGGTCGCCAGAACCACTTCCAGCGCCTCGCCTCATCGCCGTGTGTCTCTGTCGCCGGCCGGTGGGCCGGTCCCGGGGCGGGGTGTCGGTGCGTCTCTCTCGCACTCGCACCCCGCCCCACGTGCGAGAGAGAGACAGAGCAGCCTCCCCGCGTGGAATCGGCCTGCCGGGCCGCCAACGTGCCGCACGCGTGCCGACCTGCTCCCCTCCCCTACTTGCAGTGGAGCGGGCTGAGGTCATGAGCACTTTGCATGCCGCGTGTTGAAATACAAACAGAGTCACTGTCAGGCAGCACTGCGAAAAAAGCAACCGTGGCACTGGTCGTTACGATGCGTTGCCTTGACTTCTAGATCTTCACCCGAAAAGAAGGACCGCGACAGCAACAGAAGAAGAGGATGATGGAAGAGCTCTCTAACGGCAAATGGAGAGAGGGAGAGAGAGAGGGGAAAAAATCGGGACGCCTTCCTGGTTTCCGTCCGGCACAGGGAGCATTATGTCATGGGTGCCAACACTCTTCTGATTGTGTACGTCCGTGTGTGAGAGGTGACTGTGTGTGTGAGTGCAGCAGCTCATATTGGCCACCGAGTCCGCCGTAGCACCAGCTGAACCGATCTCGCTCATCCTTTCACCGTTTTCATTTTCCGCTCGCTTGGCTGGGCCGGGCAGCTTAGCGCGCGTGAGATCTCTCATTGCAAAGGATGCGCAAGGACGTAATTGCAATAGTAATATGAATAAAACCTTGGGCGCGCGGTGGCGGCGCGCACGTGTCTGGGCGGGGCAAGGCGGGGCGGGGCTGCCTTTGCCGCCTTCCGGAAAGAAAGCCGGGCACGCCGGGGCCTTCGCTGCCTCCGCTGCCTTTGCGCAAACGAATATAAAGAAGGCGGCCCTGATTACGACCGACTGCATGCCGCCCGCTGGAGTCCTGGAATTCTAGCCCTGGAGCCCTGAAGTGGAGCCCTGGAGTTAGACCCTGGAGTTAGGCCCTGGAGCTCCAGGACTCTAGAACCCAAGGGCTACAGGGCTCCGGGATTCCAGGTGAATCCAGGCCTTGGATACCTGGAGTCTTGGGGGCCTGGAGCCGCCTGGAGTCGCTTGAAATCCTGGAGCCCTGGAGTCCGGAGCACGTGGCGAGCACGCCCTCGAGTGCGACAGGCAGTCACAGGGTCGGCCGCGTCGTTCCGGCAGCAAAAATGTCGATAAAAACGACTCTTCCTCTTCTTCTCGGCGGCAAACCTCGGCCGGAGCGGCGCCCCGCCACGCCACGCCGGCGAGGGCCTCCACCCAGCTTTACAGCCTCCAGGGCCGGGAGCGGCGCGATCGGCTGCAGAAGCACTGCAGTGCCGGCAAAGCAGAGCGGATGGAGTAAAAGAAGAACACAAACCGCAACTTCCACTCGAGTCAAGGTGAAGCGAAAACAGAGCCAGAGTGGTGCTGCTGGGCCTGTACGCACAGCCTGTCTACACGATCATGAGACTCATTAGGCGCTGGTGTGCACGAGAGAGAGAGAGAGAGAGAGAGAGAGAGAGAGAGAGAGAGAAGAGAGAGAGAGAGAGAGAGAGAGAGAGAGAGAGAGAGAGGAGAGAGGGGCTGCCTAGGCAGATGCATGAGTTGTTTGTTCGCGCGCTAACGAGACAAGCTACGCCTTGCTTCGCTGCTTCGCCCTCCGCGGAAAGAAGAGTAGAATTCCGAGCCGGAGAATTTCGGGGCAAAGTTGAGCCGGTCGGCGCCCTGGCGCCCCGGCGCCCTGGCCAGGCGGCTGGCTTGGCGGCTGGCTCAAATTCGAGGCCTCAACGGGGAGGAAGCAGCCCCATTAGTGCAGGCCAAAGGGATTAGAAAAAAGAAGAAAACGCCACAGGCGGAGAGAAGAAGAAGAGTACGCGCCAAACGCAAGAGGAAAAGTAGCAAGTCAGCGCGAGCGCGCGGCGCACCGCGGCGGCCCGATCATTTGTGCTAATCTGATGGGGCGGCGGATGGATTCACCAGCGGCCGTGCGGCCAGCCAGGCAGCCAGCCAGCGGTTCCCACCGCCCCACCGTGATACCCATCGCCGGGCACCTGGAGCACGGCGACACTGACGTCGTCCCCGCCGGGCCTGGCCGCGCCTGGCCGGGCCGCCGCCGTGGCGTAAGCTACACTGCTGGAAGCAGCTGGAAGCACAGGCGTGTGTCGGGCCGATGCACGGCACGGCACTATAACAACGAAAACAATAAAAAGAGAGACCGGTGAGGCAAGGAGGGCGTGGGAGACGAGCCGTGTGTGACACCGCACCGCCATGCGTGTCGCGCGGCGTGTCGCGGCGTGTCGCACGCAGAGCCCGCCCCGTCACCCTGGCGGACGCCCCACGAGTGCGAGAGAGACAGACTGACAGAGCGCCGCCGTTCGGAATGAACAGCCAGCAGCAGTCAGCTGGGCGGCCGCCGCGAGGTCCACGACACCGAGTGCGTCGTCCTCGTCAGCGGCGTCGGCGCCACGCCCGGGTCGCCGCGCCACTGCCGCGCCACTGCCGTGCACGCGGAGGGAGACACGCGCCGAGTGCCGTTTGCCGTTTGCCCCGTTCGCCGTTTGGCGGACATTCCGTTCGCAAAATGCAGCCAGTCCGGCCGCCAGTCCGGTTATGTGGGTTAATGACATGTGAGGCGAGGTGTCCAAGTTGGCAATAGGCAGTCAAGGCCGCCTGCTCGGGCCGCGCGGCTCGGCCTGCTCCTGCAGCGCGGCGTGGCGCTGGCCGACCGGACCGGCGACACTCTGACAGTGCAGCGGGGAGACCACTACCACCGCGCACCGCGCACCGCGTCTCGTTGGCCGCGGCGCCGGAGTGCAAGAAAAGGCTCATCTGCAATGCATCCCATCCCGTATCACTTTCGCTGGTGCTGGCTTGGGGCTCCTCGCGGGCCGCGGCAGTTGGCCAACCTGTCATGCTGTGACGCCACCTGTTTGAACGTGGCAGGCAGCCCTACTCGCATCACTAGTTTTTCTCAGTCTGTCTCTCTCTCGCGCGCAGCCCATAATGCGCCGCGCGCATACGTCGTTCTTCTCTTTAAAGGGAAACTCCACTGCGGCTCTGGAAGTGGGTCGCGGACGGAAGGTGGATCCAGGCCAAAAAGCCGGTCCCTGGTCGCCCTGGTCTCCCTGGTCGCTGGCTGCAGGGTCCCCGCCAGGGTCCCCGCCTGGGTCCCCGCCTCAGTCCACGCAACAGCGCCAGGTCGCCCCTTTGCTCCAGCAGTTTCAGCAGGCAAGGTCGCCTCCAGCTTGGTTCGTTCTGCTGGACGCGGCTGGACGCGGCTGCGTCGCGACGCCGTCTGGAGGCGGGGGCAATGTCACCCAAGCCCCCGTCCACCCCACTGTGCATTAGCGCAAAGTGCGTGCCCCGCAAAACAAGACACACGCACTCACACACACACTCGCAGCGAATGAGCGAGGTAAAAACGGGGCGGCCCTAGAAAAAGCCGCCCCTCCAACGCCACACACCTGACGGCACCTGGCGGCACTACGCGGCCACGCCCGCCCATACCCCTCAATAATAAATGCCCGGCCAATTATTCAAAATTCAAGGCCGGCCCTGCCGCCCAAAAGTCCCAAATATTGCCAAGCAGCTTTCTGCTTTGCGCTTTTGCGCCTGGCCTCGGTGTACATTCCCGCCGAAACACTCCGAGCGCTCCTGCAAGTTTAACCGCGTGCGGGACTGCAGAGGCGGTCTCGATTTTGCTGGAGTATCTACAACGCTGCGGTCCCGGTCCTGTCTCTAGCAGGGATCCGCACTGACGGACGTCACGCACGCACGGGCACGCACACACACACGCGCACTGGCATCCGCGGCCCTTGAACACACTCACACACTCTCGCACACAAACTCACACACACACACAAGACACACACACACACACTCACTGACGCGTGCGGTATGCACTCACGATACTGCAAAGCGTAGGTCCCTTGCTGATGCCTGCAACTCTGGCCGAAGACTGGACTGGCCGGTCGCGCCGACGGCGTGCTCGGCGTGCTTGCGCCCCCTCCCTGTGCGGCGCGGGCCGCGCGGGCCCCCGTAACACACGCGCGTGTCTGCAGCGCGAGGTGGGGCGCGGTGGGGCGGGGCGGGGCGGGGTGGGGCGGGGCGGGGACGCCCCCGGTGAGTTAAGACCGGCCGGGACAGCCTCCCCTCCCCGAAAGGTTTTCCGCCGGTCATCGCGTAGAACAGGTCGCCGTCGTGGAGGTCGTGACCCCGGCAGGGGGAAGACGGTGCAAGCGCGTTCAATGTTCGCCGGTACACTGTTGCAAGCGGTTGCTTCGGCGTCCCCGAGTCGCGGCCTTGGCCAGGCCTTGGCCCCCTGCTGCTTGCGAGGGATGGCGCCAAGCACCGGCAGGGATTCCCCTGGGCTCCCCCGGATTCTCCTGGCACTCTGGCGGCACCCGGATTGTTGCCCGCCAGGGTCAGAGGCTGTGGCTGAATACTGAAGCTGAGGGCTGCCAGTCCCACGGATGGGTATCCAGCCGGGGCGACATACATTCTTTTTTCCCGACTTGTCTGACTCGGAAGACTACTGACTTGTCTGACTTCAAGACAACTGACTTGGCTGACTTGGAAGACTTCATATTGACTTGGCTGACTTGGCTGACTTTGCCGGCTTGGACGACTTGGCTGACTTGGCTGACGGCCGGACTGGACGACTTAGCTGACTTGGCTGACTTGGCTGACTTGACTGACTTGGCTCACCTGGCTCACCTGGCTGACTTGGCCGACTGGGCCGACCTGGGCGACTTGGCCCGGTGCAGGGTTCGTGCGGTTCACGGCCCTCCCCTCAGGGCCTCGTCTTTACGACTCCAGACGCGAACCGCGGAAAAAGCGGGCGCCTCGCCTCCAAATGCCACATGCCAGCCGCGGCGGTGCGCGCGATGCCGTGTAGTTAGACGCTGTAAAGTTGTGCACTCTGCCACGCCCTGCCCGGGCCGGCCCCACCCTGCCGCCATGACTGACAGACAGTCAGAGAGAACAACGATCGAAGGGAAAACGACGCCGCATGACTGCCGTGTTTGCTGTTCTTGATGACGCACGGTTTTTCATCTGTTTTTTGTTTTGGCGAAAAACTAGCTGCAGCCGGGGCGCGGCCGTGAGGCAACGGAGCCGCGCCAGCCAGCCAGGGCGAGCCAGGGCGAGCCAGGACGGCCAGGACGACGGCAGGCCGCGACGCCGCGCGCACTTGAAATAAAAGGCACGGAGCGCGCTGACTCTCTCGCACTCGCACCCACGGCGCACCGGAGGGAGCGAGAGAGACAGAGAGGAGAGCGCGGGGCGGAGCAGGGCGGAGCAGGGCGCATCACTCAGAATGGCACGCACGTGAGTCGGCCGCACTTTTCGGCGTCGTGCTTGCTGTCGCTGCTGTCGCTGCCGCCGCTGCCGTCGCTACACGCGGGCGGCACGTATAAAAACTACAACAAACAGAAAGCGCCCGTGGCTGTGTGCGAGTGTGTGCCAGTGTGTGGGAAGGGACGCATACGTGACTGTACGCAAAGCAATGGTGTCCGCGCGCGCCGCGGAAAGGCCGGCCCGAAATAACGACGAATAGTATCAGACTTTGTGTGAAATTATTTTCATTCCCAGCCCCCGTGACGGGGGAACGTGCCCGCCGAAGCCGTCGCGGTGAACCGGGTCCTGGGCGCCCTGGGCGGCACACTGTACTGGGCCGACGGCTTTGGCCGGCCTCACCGACGCGGAAGGTCCCGCCCCGGAGTCGACATGAAAGGCAGCCACTTGCGGTCGCTTGTGCGAACTTTATCGCTAAGTCCTGGTCGGTTCGGGGACCCGGCCCGGCCAAGGCCCGTTTGTGGGACTGTAGCTACACCAGCCACCAGCGAGCAAACTCACTCCCTCCATCCGGTCCGGCTCGGGTCCGGCCCGGCCGGCCAGGGCGACCCTCTTTGCCTAGCCAACTTGACGTCATTCTTCCCTCGTGCGCCCCGCCCCGCCCCGCCGGTCCAGTCAGATAATGCGGCATCGCATCCATCCACGCCACTGGCGGCCGGACAGGCCTTCCAGTGCCTCAGTGGCCGTGACTTTGCCCCGCTTGTTTATTCCAGTCCGCTCCCCATTTTTAAGGAATCCCTGTTCCCGTGTCAAACGAGGAGCCGGGCAGCGAAGAGGAGTCTTGAAAGGCACTTTGACAGCTCCGGCGGCTCCGGCGGCCGGCCCGGCCAATCCCCGCAGCGCTTTCGGCGTCTCTCTCGCACTCGCGGGGCGTTCCGCGGGGGTGCGAGAGAGACGGAGCGCGCTGTTGGGAACCAGCCTGCGGAGGAGCCACTCGGGCAGCAGCGGCCGTCCGGCGCTAACGCGCTGCGACTTGGAGATTAATCGCGGAGAGCAAGGGAGAGCAGGGGAGGGCAGCACGAGGAGGGCAAGGGTGCAGCCCGGGAGAGGGGGGCACCACCGACCCCGAGCTGGGCCCCGCGGTGCACCAAGCTCCTAGGTACACCCCCAACTCGGCCGGATGCAGCCCCCAGCCCCCGGCCCAGCCCCCGGGGCGGACCCACACACTCACTCACACACGCCAAACTGTGCCGCCAGTGGAGGTGGAGAGGACGCTTTAGCTTTGCCGAGCTTTTCAGCTGCCACCGCCAGCGGGCAGCGCGCGCGAGCCAGCAAATAAAGGACGCGGCGGGGGGGAGGGGGGGGGGGCTCGAAGATGAGACGCGTCCCGATCGGAGGGGCGGCAGGCCGAGCGGCAGGCCGGACCAAAGAGGGAGCAATTAATTTCATGGCAGCGGGCCGATTCCGAACAGGGGCTGTCGTCGCTCTTTCCCTCTCTCTCTCGATCTCGCAGGGAGGCCCGCGGGGGTGCGAGAGAGACTGGGCGGGTGGAGGGAGCGCAGCGTGAGGAAGACAAACCCAGCGGCCAAGGTCGGCTCGGCTCGGCTCGGCTCGGCTCGGCTCGGCTCGGCTCGGCTCGGCTCGGCCCGGTCCCGCGGGGTCGGACCGTCCAGGACCCCGACGAACGCCGAGCGCCCCACCTTCTTTTCTTATTTATTTTTTCTGCCGGGTCCCGCCGATCTCTGCGCGTGACATTTCGTCAGTACCTCCCGCTCGCTCGACGCGCGGCGCCTAGCCTGCTGCCTGCCCGCCTGCCTGCCTGCCTGCCTGCCTGCCTGCCTGCCTGCGCACACGGCGCGGCGGTCCAGTGTGGTCTAGGTTGCCCCAGGGTTGCCCAAGGCTCGTCTGCTGCCGCGCGACGTGCATCCCAGGCCCACGCGGGGGTCCGTGGGCATCCAGTGCAAGGCACGCGTACACCGCAGATCCCCAGGAGGGCAACTTGGGCAATTGAACAGTTGGAACAAGCTGACCCCGCCTAGGTGGGCAATGGTTCGAAACAGACAGCTTGAAGGATAAAACACAATAATTCGCAATAATTGTTGAGCTGCCCCTGCTTCGAAAAGTGCGGTGAGCGCCGGGGCTGGATTGGACTATGCAGTTTGCTTAGTGTCAGCAGAGGCGACGTCAGTGTGCGTGCGTGTGTGTGGACCGATATGCAGCGATCATTAATGGACGGTCATTAGCCCATTAGAGTGGAGTGGCGGTCCGCGGTCGACCCGCAAGGTGCCCAAGGCGGGCTGGTTGGGCAACAGGTTCGCGTCCAACAAAAATGTCGCGGTCGCACAGCAGTAAAAGCCAACCGCCAACCCAACAGCCGCGCGGCCGGGCCGTGTGAATGAGATGCGGATGCGGGCGCATCAGTCACACAGACGGCAGACGGCCCGTTCCGAGCAATGCAATCTGTCTCTCTCGCACTCACGGGGCGTTCCCCGGCGGTGCGAGAGAGACGGCCTCTGCAGTCGCTGCCAGTACCGGACAGAGCCCACTCGGCCCCGCGCAGGAAATGTCGGGTCCTTGGTCCTTGGGCCCTGAAGCGAAGTGCGTGTGAACACCGCGTGTGGTAGCGCCTCTGCAGGCTGAGCACCACTTTCATCGCTCCGTCTCTCTCGCACTCGTGCTGCGTCCCGTCGAGAGCGAGAGGGACAGAGCGACGGCAGCCTTGTTTCGGAAGCAGCCTACACTGGCACCACGACGCCGTCCGGACCGCCGCAGAAAAACATTCGTAGAGGTGAAGTGGGTGTGCGGGGCAGTGGGGCCCGGGGGCTGGGGAGGCTGGAGGCCAGGGGGATGCGTAAAGGACAGAAACTAATATTGGAACCGGAACGCCGCGCTGGTGGTGCGGGCGGCGGGCTGAGCGGGGCGGGGTGGGCAGTGCGGGGTTCCCACTCTGCGGTGGTTACGGCCCGACAGGTTTAAGGGCTGCCAAGGGCGCCAAGGGCACCGAGAGTCCTTCGAAAAAGAAAAGAGCGGAAAGCGCTTTAGCCCAATTATTTCCATACGTCTCTCTCTCTCTCTCTCTCTCTCTCTCTCTCTCTCTCTCTCTCTCTCTCTCTCTCTCTCTCTCTCTCTCTCTCTCTCTCACGCTATTCAGTGAGATGTCGCGTGCTTTGTCTCACGTCAGCCGGCCGGTGTAACAACGCCGGTACAGTGTGTGGCTGACGGATTTGGCGCGCCAAAGGAAAATGTCGACGCGACCATAAACAAGAACAGGAGGCACATGTCAGGCGCCAAGCAGCCGCCAGGCAGCCGCAGCGGGCGGGCGGGGCGGGGGGAGTTCCTTCATGGCCCCGCCCCGCCCCGCCCCACCCCGTGTGTGAGTGTAAGTGTGAGTGTGTGTGAGTGTAAGTGTGAGTGTGTGTAAGTGTGAGTGTGTGTGAGTGTAAGTGTGAGTGAGTGAGTGAGTGAGTGATTGACTGACTGACTGAGTGAGAGAGTGAAAGAAGAGTGTGTGCACAAAGACAGGAACACGAAAAAGGACGGAAGCAGTCTGCGGGGCTGGGGATAGAGAAGAAGAGTACAATAATTGGTTCGCTCGACACACACACACACACGCATACGGCACGGCACACAAAGCGCCGGGCGTTGATTAATTCTCTGGATCATTTCTCC